CACAAGGAATCCATGTGGAGACCCCTCCACAGAAGGGGTCGATATGTGAAGGACCTCCCACATAAGGAATCAAGGTGTACAGGCTCCTTCACATACGGAACTCATCTATGAAGGCCCCTCCCACATAAGGGTTCAACATGTTGGAGGCCCCCCCACACAAGATAACAATATGGAGACCCCTTGCACAAAAGGAATCAATATGCGGCGGTCCCTCCACAGACAAACTCAAAATGTGGAGGCCCCTCCACATAACGAGTCTATATTCGAAGGCCCATCCACATAAAAAATCCATGTGGAGACCCCTCTGACCTAAGAAATGAATATGTGGAAGTCCTTCCACCGACGAAATCAACATGTGGAGGTCCCTTCCACAAGAGGAATCAATATGCGCGAGGCCCCTTGCACATAAGAAAAAAATTGGGGGAGGCACCTCCACAAAAGAAAACAATATCATATTTCTCCTCCTCATCTTTCTCCTCCTACCCCTTCTGCTCCCCCTCATCTTCAACCCCTGCGCCAGAGCGGGAGGAGGAGGGGGGGAGCAGGAGGAGGAGGAGGAAAAGGAAACCGCCCGCCGCAAAAGAACTCAATTGGTGGAGGTCCCTCCACAGACGGAATCAACATGTGGAGGCCCCTCAACTTAAGGAACCGATAACTTGAAGGCCCATCCACATAAGGAATCAATCTGTGCAGACCCCTTCCAACATAAGGGATCAACAAGTGGGAGGACCCTCCACAAAAGAAATCAATATGGAGACCCCTTGCACATAGGTAATCAATATGTGGAGGTCCCTCCACAGACGGAATCAACATGTGGAGGCCCCTTCCACAAAATGAATCAATATGTGGAGGATCCCCCACAAAAGGAAACACTATAATCTTTCTCCTCCTCATCTTTCTCCTCCTACTCCTTCTGATCCTTCGTCTCCTCAGCCCCTGCGCCGGAGTGGGGGAAGAAGGGGGAGGCGGAGCAGAAGGAGGAGGAGGGAAAGGAGAACGCCCGCCACACAACGAATCAATATGTAGAAGTCCCTCCACAGACGGAATCAAAATGTGCAGGCCCCTCCACATAAGGAATCGATATTAAAAGGCCCATCCACATAAGGAATCCATATGTGCAGCCCCTTTCACATTAGGAATCATTATGTGAAGGCCCCTTCCACATAAGGAATGAACAAGTTGGAGGCCCCTCCACATAAGAAATCAATATGGAGATCCTAGCTCATAAGGAATCAACCTGTGGAGGTCCCTCCACAGACGGAATCAACATGTGGAGATCCCTTCCACATAAGGAAACAATATGTGGAGGATCCCCCACAAGAGGAATCAGGCCCTTTCCACATAAGGATTCAACGAGTGGGAGGCCCGTCCACACAAGATATCATTATGGAGGCTCCGTGCACATATGGAATCATTATGTGGAGGTCCCTCCACAAATGGAATCAATATGTGGAGGCCCCTACACATAAGGAGTCGATGTTTGAAGGCCCTCGCCCTTGGAAGAGAACATATCGAAATCCAAACATTAGCGACGAGCAGCCCGGAGGAACGACCAAGCTAATGAAGAGCAGGATGGGACAAATAAAGAGTAGAGGAACGAGGGCGTACGAAGCTTGCGAAGCGTCGCTTGATGCGAGGCCTACCAGGAGGACAGTGGTGGGCGGCGGAGGGACGAGGGGTGAGGGAGGAGGGAGGATCGGGAGGATAACGAACATAATCAAAGGAGAAGGAACGAATCATAGAAAGAAATGCAGCGGGGGAACGGACACCGATTGCTGACGGAGCGTGGGCAACCTACGAGGGGGAGGGTGAAAAGAAGAAGTGGGAAGTATAATAATAATGGGCACTGGTATGATCAGGGGGGCGCGATCAAATATATATATATATATATATAGATATACATACACCAGGCGTGGCCATGCTCGCATTCATACAAATATACTTACTCGCAGGCAGACTCAGTCAGACTCAGATTCACTCGCGCTCAGACTCACCCGCGCTCAGTCTCTCGTAATTAGACCAATCGTCTTCTTTCGTGTTGTGTACCCCGCCAAGCAATGCGGAGCACCCCTCATACGGTTCGTGGCCCCATAGGGAGCGCCACCGAAGAAAATACTCACAATTGCGGCAACTACTCACAACTGCATATGGTTGGGTCCTTCGCCAGGCTAGTTGGTTTAAGCGAGGTGCGTGAGGATATCTCGCTGGCAGTTTGAGGCCAGGGGGTTGAGGATATTTCGCTGGCAATTTTGGGCCAGGGGGTGAGGGTATTTTACGGGCGCAGCCCGTAATTTGATTTTCGGAAAATAGACTAACAAAACTGACAGAACAACTTAATCACCAAAACCGTTAGATGGCAGTTTGATTTCCGGGGTGAGGATATTTCGCTGTCAGTTTTAAGTCAGGGGGTGAGGATAGTTCACTGGCAGTTTTAAGTCAGGGGTGTGAGGATATTTCGCTGTCAGTTGTAGGCCAGGGGGCGAGAGTATGTCGTTGGCAGTTTTAGGCAAGGGGGTGAGGATATTTCGCTGGCAGTTTTAGGCCAGGGGGTTGAGGATATTTCGTTGGCAGTTTTAGGCCAGGGGGTGAGGATATTTCGCTGGCAAGTTTAAGTCAGCGGGTTGAGGATATGTCGCTGGCAGTTTTAGGCCAGGGGTTGAGGATATTTCGCTGGCAATTTTCAGTCAGGGAATTGAAGATATGTCGCTGGCAACTGTAGGCCAGGGGATTACGGACACTTCCCTGGCAATTGTAGGCCAGGGAGTGGGGATATTTCGCTGGGAGCTTTAAGTCAGGGGGTTCAGGATATTTCGCTGGCAGTTTTAAGCGTGGGATGTGAGGATATTTCGCTGGCAATGTTAAGCTAAGTGCTTGAGGATATTTCGCTGGCAATTTTAGGCCAGGAGGTTGAGGATATTCCGCTGGCAGTGTTAGGCCTGGGGGTTGAGGATAGTTGCTGGCAGTTTTAGGCCAGGGGGTGAGGATATTTCGCTGACAGATTTAGGCCAGGCGGTGAGGATATTCCGCTGGCAGTATTACGTCAGGGAGTTGAGGGTACTTCGATGGCAGTATAGGGCCAGGGAGTGAGGATGTTTCGCAGGCAGTTTCAAATCAGGGGGTTGAGGATATTTCGCTGCCAGTTTTAGGCCAGGGGGTGTTGATATGTCGCTGGCAGGTTTAAGCGAGGGGTGTGAGGATATTTCGCTGTCAGTTGTAGGCCAGGGGGCGAGGATATTTCGCTTGCAGCTGTAGGCCAGGGGGTTGAGGATATTTCGCTGGCAGTTTTAGGCCAGGGGGTGAGGACATTTCGCTGACAGTTTTAAGCGAGGGGTGTGCGGATATTTCGCAGGCAATTTTAAGTCGGAGTTGTGCGGGTCTTTCGCTGGCAGTTGTAGGTCAGGGCGGTTAGGATATGTCGCTGGCAGTTTTAGGCCAGGGTGTGAGGATGTTTCGCTGGCAGTTTTAGGCCAGGGGGTGAGGATGTTTCGTTGACAGTTGTAAGCGAAGGGTCTTAGGATATGCGCTGGTTAGGCCAGGGGGTGAGGATATTTCTCTGGCAGTTTTAAGCGAATGGGTTGAGGATATTTCGCTGGCAAATTTAAGTGAGGGGTTTGAGGATATTTCGCTGGCAGTTTTAGGCCAGGGGGTGAGGATAGTTCGCTGACAGTTTTAAGTCCAGGGGTGAGGATATTTCGCTGACAGTTTTAGGCCAGGGGCGTGAGGGCATTTCGCTGGCAGCTTTAAGCGAGGGGTGTGTGGTTATGGCGCTGGAAGTTTTTGAACCAGGGCGGTGAGGATACTTCCCAGACGTAGCCAAGCAACACCATGTGCCAATCACGGGCGGTCAGCCGAAGGCTACGCATCCAGCGCGGTGCTGCGCCTGTATATATGCTCGCCCCTTGGCATGGGGCTGGCGGTGGGCCAAGGGGCGAGCTGTCTGGTGTTTCCAAGACAGCTGTGTCATCCTGCTCCGCACCGTTCTCTCAAACATGCCTACGTCACTCCTTTTCCCCATCCACTCCTTGGGTTGAGGCAGGCTAACATCATTTCCGCGTGTTCACGGCGCGGGTCGTCGGCTGCGTACCCGATGCTAGCCATGTCGTACGCGTCAAGGCAAAGCCGACCGTTCCTCGTGGGAACCTCCCAGCGACAGATACGCATCCTTCGACACCGTCCCACTCTAAGTGAAGCACGACAGTCCACACACATATACACACACACACTTACACGCACACGCACTATGAGATGCGTCGGCGGCTAGGCAGAATGACTGCGCTGGCGGAAAACACACATAGATCGGGGGCGGCCAAGCGGGGGGTGTCCAAGAGGGAGGGGGCGCAAATCATGGCCAGCGGATGGTGGCGCGGCCCAGGGGGGACGGGGCAGGGACATGTTGAAATAAGAGGAGGCGCCATGAAATCTGGGGAGATATCATGGCCCACGCCATGATATCCACCCACCCCTAGTCGTCACCCCCCTCTTGGCCGCCCCCGAATACACACAGCATGTACCGAAACTCGCGGGGCGGGGGCGGGGCGAAGGGCAGAATCGACATGCAGACGCTCACTTCCAGGCTTGGGGACGGCGGTGCAAACTGCGGCCCCGTGGGATGCCGAGGGCGGACTCCCTGTGGCTCATGAGATCGATGTGCACGACCATGCAGTAGGCCGGTCCTCCTCAGGTCCTCCTCCCCAGGGGGGGAGTCCCAGGGGGGTCCTTTTCCTCCTCCGCCTCCTCCTCCTCCTCCTCCTCCTCCTCATCGCCGCTTCCTCCTCCTCCTTCTTCTCCTCCTCCCCCTCCCCCTCCTCCTCCTCCTCCTCCTCCTCCTCCTCCTCCTCCTCCTCCTGGTCGTCGTCGATGTCTTTCAGGGTCGGCAGCACCGGCCGTCAGGCCTTCACATCGATGTGCACGACCATGCAGTAGGTGGATTGTTGGAGAACTGTATAGCCCCACTATAACCCTGCAAGTGTTCACCATCCCTGTTGCTCAGTGCGCGAGGCCTTCGGTATCCTCGAACGTTGTACCCAGCACACATCAATGGATATCACTGGACCCTCGGGGCATCGGTTCCGAAGAAGAGTCTTCATCACACAAAGCGACCACACGTTGACCTTCAGTGTGCGCCCTGTTTGTCCCAACATCACCTTCTTTCTCCACACGCATCCTCATTCCGCTGGGCATTCCTCGTTTATGGTGCAATGGACGGCCAGCAGAGACATTGCACGAACCACATTCGACTCCCATCTCGACGCCGCACCCTTTCCATCTGGAACGGGCGCGCCATGGAAAAACAAACATACCAGCGGGAGGTGAAACGAGTCATGTGTGATACGAGCGCCCCCAAACAATACTCCAACAACTACCTCCGTTTGTCCCGTTTCTTTTTTCCTCTTCCCCTCTTCCCCTCCCTCCGTGATCGACCCACTCCATCCATTCCCCTGGCCTTCCCCTTGCCCCTGCCTCTCCTCTCACCACCACCCCCTTTGGCCCCCCCCGCGCCCGCCCGCCCCCCCCTTTCCCCCCATCCATTTTTCCCTACTCCCTCCACCCCCCCTGCCCCGCTTTTCCCGTCCTCATTCACACACACCCCACACGCCCCCGCTCCAACTTTTCCCATCGCGCAAAGCTCAACTGTCCCAGAGGACGGACAACAGGGTGGCGGAACGGCGAAAAAGCAAGCCCCGCGAATCACCTCCCATCGCCCCGCCGGGCCGTCCGCGGGGAAGGCGAAGTAGCAGCCGGATTCCCCGCCTTCCGCAGAGCAGTATCCAATTCGACAGGATGAACAGCAGCAGGCGCACGAGGGAGGAGAGGAAAAACGGGATGAGAGGAGGGGACGGTTTGTTTTGGGTTCTCTGGGGAGCGTTTTGAAACCCTTTGGGGGCCCTCGTGGACCGTTTTCGGCTCCTTTGGGGCGCTTCTGGGGCCGTCTTGGGAAGAACTCTGGGGCCTCGTGGGCCGTGCTGGGCCCTTCTGAGGCCGAAAAGGTGGGAACCAGAAGACATTCAAAAACCTAAGGCAACTCAATGTTTTTGGCGTCTGGAAGCCCTCTCGGGGGCTCTCTTGAAGGCCTCTGGAGCCGTCTCGAAGCCCTCTTGGACCGTCTGGGCCGTTTCGGTGCCCTCTGTCTGGGGCAGTCTTGGTGCCCTCTGGCCGTTTCACTCGAACAAATACAAGGAAACAGACGATTGGAGCCGCTTCGCTCGAAATTAGCCTGGCGGAGGATCCAACCAGTCGTGAATGCCGCACTTGTTAATATCTGTTTCGGTGGCGCTCCCGATGGGGCCGCGAATATTGTGAAGGGTGTGCTGAAATGGGAGCGGGGGACGCATGTGGACGCTGGCACTGGGGCCTTCGGTGGAGATTCCATGGGGCCACCAAACGTGCAAGGGGTGCGCCGAAATGAGTGCGGGGGACGCGTGCGGTCGGTGGCACTGAAGCCTTCGGTGGAGATCCCTATGGCCCATATGGGGTCACGACATGTGTGCCGAAATGGGTGTGGGGGAGGCGTGCGTATGGACGGTGGCACTGCGGCGTTCGGTGAGCTCCCTACGGGGCCACGAAACGTGTGACGGGTGTGCCGAAATGGGCGTGGAAGACGCACGTGGACGGTTGCACTGGGGCCTTCGGTGGAGCTCCCTATGGGGCCACGAAACGTGTGAGGGATGTGCCCAAATTGGTGGGAGACGCATATGGACGGTGGCACTGGGGCCTTCGGTGGAGTTCCCTATGGGGCCACGAGACGTTTGAAGGGCGTGCCCAAATTGGTGCGGGGGATGCAGATGGACGGTGGCACTGGGGCCTTCGGTGGAGCGGCCACGAAACGTGTGAGAGGTGTGCCGAACGGACTGTGGGGGACGCGGGCTCGCGCCCGACCTGGTGAAAAACTAAGAGTTCGACCGCGACGTACCATGCGGTCATCCTGTTCATCTTCGTCGTCCGTTGGCGAAAGACTTGGATCGTCGTGATATCTCTTTTTCCTTATGAAGGGTACGCGGCTTGGCGATTGCCTCGGGCTGCGAGCAGACCGATCTGACGCAACAAAAGTGAAGTGTAATGCTTCAGTATGTCCAAGATCATATTGAATACGTTCAGATAGGTCACCAGCGTCACGCGGGTTTCCCCGCAATGGATCACCATCGATCGACTCCGTGTTTGTCGGATTTCCAATCACCCGAGGATAAAGCATGGCATGACCTTCTTCATCCGTTGCAGGAATGGTAGAATCAGAGTCCGCGGGTGTTCCCGCCACGCCAAAGTCACCTTCGACGGGCATGTGGAAGTTCTCCGCAAACTCAATATCTGCAGGTTGCCCCGCGATGGGTATACCCAGCCGCTCTGCCAAGTCAATATCGCTGTGGCCGGTGAACACCTCTTCGGACAGCTCGTCGGCATAATTCTCGAGGTTCATGCTGGCGCGCAAATACCTGGCAGCCATGAAATGAATGACTGCGGCTGAGCCGTCAGCAGGGTCGGTCAAAAGCGACCCCCAGTCGACGTACTGTATGTCGGTGTCCGCTTGAGCCAAATCTATTGACGGACCCCTGCCTCTTCCATCGCCTTGGGGGCATTCGCGTCGGAAATGTTATGTTCTGTGGCATACGTCGCACTCCACAGTTTTACCGTTGGCATCCTTTTGATTCCCTCGTCGCCCTTTACCTTTGCCTGACGCATGCCCGCGGTTCCTGCCAGCACCTAACAACATATCTTCATACTGGGACCCAGTGGGAGATGCTAGGAATGCTAGTATGCCTCTACCGTGTAGTCGCCGACGCTTACCTTTGCCTTTACTTCGACCCTTGGTTTTTTCCTTTAAACGTCCGCCGTGCCATACGCCTTACCCTTCTGACTGGTTTCTTCATGAAACTCCGCCAACGACGCTTGTGTTTTTGATAGCCCCAGCATAACCACTGAGCTTGCTGCTCTTTAGTAAGGTATGTAGGCATATCAGAGTAGTCCAGCGCGGTAGTTTTCATCATCAGAAAAAGCATCGGCATCGGTACCGGAGTCAAGGTCGGACTCGGCGGGTTGCCCCGCAGAGTCCATTCGGGTCATAGCTTGTACTGGGGAGACCGCGTCGGGTGGTCCCCTAGATGTGGCCCAGGGGTCTTGAGACCCCGAGGCCGTACCGCCACTCTGGCCCAACAGTGTAGTGGTCTCAGACGGCGGCATATCATCGTTCCAGACGTTGTTAGCAGGTTGCCCTGAATTGGCCTGTGTATGGAAGGTCTCGGTTCGGTGACCGTGATTAGAAAATACCACCGATATTGCCAGGGGTTCTCTCAGCTATGTGAGCAAATGACCTCATGCGTTCGAGGAGAGCATCAAATTGTGCTTGGTCCCTCGGCATATGGTGGTTCAGAAGCTGCAGGAGCTGCTGTGCCCGCGGCGTCCCCACTCCCAGAGCTCTGAATAATATTACTGCTACTATCTGGAAGTTGGGGACGTTGAAGCCGGCGGCTTCTGCTTCGTAGCGGGCTATCTCGAACCGCGCTAACGACTGGTCGATTCTTTCTCCCGCATGGACACGAAAGTCAATGAGAGCCGTGCCAAGGTTGAGTTGGCGTTCCTCTTCTAGGTTCTCGAACTTCGTGCTTAAGAGGAACATAATGTGGGTGACGCCGTCGGTGTGGCAACCACCTATATTGACAACAAAATTGATGACTGCTGGGGGAACTCTCATGGCTATGGTCCGTGCGAGCCCTCCAAGACCGCGCTGGAGTGCGGCGGCCTGTTGGGGGGGCGTCATGTTGCCTGTGGTCACTTTGATCCAAGCGTGTACCTCGCGGACAAACTCGCGAAATGGTACTTGACCGGCAGGATCCCAATGGGGGCCGGTCGTCCTAGTGTCGTCTCCACCCCGCATATGCCCCACCGCGCATCCAAGAGCGACCCATATGAGCCCAAAGATAGTAACCCCAATCCAATGGCCTCGTAGGTCGTTGTCGGGTGTAGTCGGTGGAGACTCGTGTTTTGTCGTCGTAAGTCTGCGAGGGGTCGGAGGCGGCAGTATATGGTATCGCATGTTTCCATGCATTACGTTTCCGAAGAAATTTCCAATTGGAGTCGGTGGGTGGACTTCAGGAGTGTATTAGCGCAGGGATGCCGAAAATGAGTAAGAAACCTCCGCTGGAGCAGAGGTGTCGCTGCAAGTTTCCTTTGGATACTGCGTATCTATGTACACTCCTCCGCGCAAGCAATGCCACTGCACCCTGATGTTCCACCGTAACTGTAGTCCACCAAATCGTGCCGTGGATGGTGAGGAGTAGAGCTAGAGCTGACCACCATAGGCCAGCTCCACTACCAAGTTTGAAGGGTGTTGGGAGGCCCCACCAACAGCTTCGCCTCAGGCGAAGCCAAGCTCCAGCTCGGTTGTACCGTAGCAGCGATAGCCCCAATGCAAGAGGGGATGCCATGCCAAGTAAAAGGGGATGCCTGTTAGTCTCGATAGCGATAGTGTGCCTCGCGGTGATGCACAGTCAAATCTAGGCGGCCGGCCGCTTTGAGCATAGACGGCCGCGGGCGCACGCTCGCTTCCGTTCCTTACGTCCCCCGGCTCGATTTAGAGTCCAGGACGGCCCAAGATGGCCTCGAGATGGCCCAAAACGCCCCCACAAGCCTCCAAGGCGGCCCAAGAGGCCTCCACGAGGTCCTCCAGGCAGACCGCTTTCCTATGGCCCGAGACGGCCAAAGGGCCCCCACAGATCGCCCCAATATCGCCTAAGGGGCCTCCAAGATGGCCCTGGAACGGTCCAAGAGGCCCTCAAGACGGCCCCAAGAGGGCCCCGAGACGGCCCAAGAGGCCTCCAAGACGCCCAAGATGGCCTCCAAGATGGCTATGGAGCACCGTCGGCGTCAGACAACCTAGGACGGGCAAAGAGGCCGCCGAAAAGGCCAAATGCCCCCAAGAGGCCCAAGGAGGCCTACAAGATGCCTCCAAGAGGCTCCCAGGAAACTCCCAGGAGGCCCGGAAGTGCCCCCAAGATGCCCCACCTCCACTTCCTCCTCCTCTTCCTCCTCCTCCTCCCACTCCACCTCCGCCACCTCCTCCTCTTCCTCCTCCTCCTCCTCCCTCCTGATCTTCCCCGCCGAGGAGCACATGGTCCTATAGCTTGGCAGAGCCCTTGCAGCAACGCTCGGCCACATGGGCGATGCCAACAGGGCAGCGGGCGGCGGGGATTCGCCGCAGACGTCTTCGACAAGGGGAGGCGACGGGAAAAAGGCTAGGAGAAGACGAACAGAGCGGAAGTGTGGGCGCCCCCTGTCATCCACCTCCCAAGCCTCCTCCTCCTGCTCTTTCTCCACATCCTCCTCCTCCTCCACCTCCTCCACCTCCTCCTCCTCCTCCATTAGAGGTCCGCTAGACGGGGTCGGAGTAGATTGGGTCGGAGGATCGCGCCGCATCGGCGATACATCGGGGATGCAGCAGCGATGAATCGGCGATGCACCGACGATGCATCGGCGATGCTCCGGCGATGCATCGGCGACGTCGGCGTGAAACAAATCTGGCTCCGCATCGAGCCGCATCGTCGATGCATCGGCGATGCGGCGCGATCCTCCGACCCCATCTACTCCGACCCCATCTGGGAGGCCTAGAACCATCTTCCTCCCTCCTCCTTTTCCCTCCTCCCTCCTTCTTCTCCTCTTTTTTCCTCCTCCTCCTCCTCCTCCTCGTACGATCCCCTCTGGACTGCCCGAGCCAACGCGCTCGCGGCCTGGTTCGGCTCCCCGTAAGCCCTCACCGCGCAGCCGCAGACCGGTGTGTTTCAGCCGGGCTCGGGGGAAGTTGTACAGCTCGTGGTTGCCGAGCAAGTCACAACGTGGCAAATCCTAGCAGGCAGTCGGACAGAACAATAAAGTGACGATCGGCAAGACGCGGTCGCAAACAAAAACAAACAGTACCAGTCTCGCTCCTGGACTGTCTGGGTTCGTGACAGTGCGGTATCGCGGACATCGATTACCAAACAACTCGCCTGATAGAAGCAACAATATAATATGATGTATACTACATGATCGGCTACAAAATGGGTCTGGCATGGCATCTTGTCCACCGGCAAGCCGAATGCCAGAATTATGCATGTTGATTTCCATGTGTTGACCTGCTGACTCCGTGCTGATTTGCACACATTGGCAAGCATAGTTTCCGTTAGCGCTCACTTCTGACGCGACACATCGCCAGAGGATGCAATGCGCGCGTTAAGCCATTGCCTGTTCAATACATTCTCCTCTTGCGAAGCTACTGCGGTGCCACGTTAAACCGGCTCCAACATGCGTTTCGCGTGCCTTCCACGCAAACCATGTCCAAATGAATGGCGCGGGCGGAAGCTTGCATTGCCACTCCCTGAGGACCCTCCACAAGTCCCCTGGACGCCCCGACAAGCGCGGTTGCGAAGTCGCGCGGCACAGCGACTGGATTCGAATGACTGGATTGCACATTCATATTTTGCTAGAGCTATTCCGCTTGTTTGTGAAATGCTCGTGGGATCACGCGGGCTGTCTCGATGTGACCTGGCGACAATAAATCAGTTGGTGCGGAAGTATGGGCCCAGTTGAGCACACACACATATATATGTATATATGTATATGTATATATATACATGTATTTTTATATGTATACATATATATATGTATATATATATATATATATATATATATATATATATATACAGCCCGGGCGTTTACTACATTGACCAAGACGATGCATTGTTATCGCGGTGAGAGCGCGAAGGCAACGCGACGTGTGCCGTCGCTGAGCGAAACACAGACTGCAAGAAAGAAACGATAAATATATTCGATCGAGCCTCGAGCTCGAGACCGCACCCCATTCGAAAGTGGGGGCTTGCCTGAAGCAAAGTAGGGTGCGATGGGGGCCTTGAGAATTACGGAACACAGTTCGAGTGCGGCCAAATCTGTCACTACTTGGCTTAAAGGTGTGAAAACATCCAGCCCGGGCGTTTACTACACTGACCAGGACGATGCCTCTTTATCGTGGTGAGAGCGCGAAGGCAACACGACGTGTGCCGCCGCTGAGAGAAACACAGACTGCAATAAAGAAGCGAGAAATAGATTCGATCGAGCCTCGAGCTCGAGACCGCACCCGATCCCACATTGGTATTCTGGCCAGCCATGGCCGCATCACAGGCCACTATAAAGACTATGCAACCGGTGACTCTTCAAATTTTCAGCAGCACTGATCAGGCAGGCAGCGGCGGCGGAGGCGAAAGCGGGAGGGTGCGGAATCGCGATGCTTGCCCACTTGCGCCCTCCAGGCGCGTTCCCTGAGAGCTCGATGTGACGCTTTTTAATGCAGCTACAGACTCCCTGCTCCCCTCGGCACGCGAGACAAAGGTCGAGCAGGCTGCCCCCGTGCCAGACGCCAACACGTGTCGCCTTTTCTCAGGGAGTACCATATTCACAGAAACCCGAGCGGGCATAAAAAAAAACAGAGCTACTCATGAGTCTTCATTTGAGGTGTCCACCACATGATAGAAGTCCTAGGATTCCCCAGGAAGACTTGAGGAGAAGTCGCCGGCAGGCCGCGGATGATGGCGCTGCCTGGGCCCAGAGCAGCGGCGAGGCGCGCCGGCAGCCGCGCCGCCGACAGCGGACCTAGGGGGCCCTCGGACATCACGTTGCTGAAGTTCGCCTCCACGGCGCTTCCCAGCGCGAAGACGTCCTCGGGCACCTAAGCCATCCCCAGGAGGAGGCGCGTGGTCTCCCCGTACCTCTTGAGACTTGTGAGGGTGGCCCACCGGCCTCGGACCTTTACCTCCGCTTGGCTCCTGGAGCCGGCCGCGAGGTCGTCGCTTGCGCCGCCGCGCCTCAGCGAGTAGAGGCGAGGCGACAGCGTGTCGAGACCGAGGGCCCTCACCAGCGACGCGAAGTGGCGCTGCAGCTCCGCGGGCGAGAAGTCCCAGAGGCTGCCGTCGGGGTGCGACTGAGCCTTGAGGGCCTCCAGCGAGGGCAGCAGCCAGTCGCAGCGGTCGAGCAGGACAGCTGCGTCGAACATCCCCGTCTTGCCCGGGTCTCCGACCGGCGCGTCGTGGAGGAGCAGCCCTCGCGAGCTGCACCGGCGGCCGGCCGCGATCTTCGGCGCCACCAAGTGCGAGCCGCGCAGCTGGAACGTCTCGAGCGGCCGCAGGTAGCCGATGAACGCGAGCGCCACCCAGAGACGCATGCGCGGGCGGCCCAAGTGGCGAAGGCAGCCCGCCAGTGCCAGGGCCGCCGCTCGAGGGAGCGGGAGCCTCATGCGCGGAAGCACCCTCCGCCGCCAGGCCACCAGGCAGCGGGTCGCTCTGGGGAGCTTCTCGGCCGTCGCCCTGTAGAGCTCCGGGAGGAAGTGCGACAGGCTGGTCAGCAGCTTGGAGGCCTCCTCGACGCTCGACCCCTCCAAGAACTCCGCGTTGAAGTACGAGACCAGGAGGGTGTCCAACTCCTGAGGCGAGCTCCAGTCCGTCCCGGTGCTCTGGCAGAAGCTGGCGAATGCGGCTTCTGCGCCCAGGTGCAGATGCTCGGTGCCCGGCTTGATGGCCAGGCGCTCCAGCAGGCTGAGGTTGCCGCTCGCCTGCCGCTGCTGCGCCAGGCGGGTCGCTGACGACGCCCGCCGTCCTTTGAACAGGCCGGCCCGCGACGCTGGTCGACCCTTCGTCCGCGCCCGCCTCCCGCGAGCGGCCTTCGGCGACACGCCGAAAGTCGCGGGCGCCGCAGGAGGTGTCAACCTCCGAGAGCACAGGGAATGGTGGAATCGGCCATTCCCTGTGCTCTCGGAGGTTGACACCTCCTGCGGGCGCCACAGGAGGTGTCAACCTCCGAGAGCACAGGGAATGGTGGAATCGGTGAAAGGGTGACATCCACCGGAGTGCTAGAGCCAGGAAGGCTACGCTGCAGACGCTCTCGGCGACGTGGTCCAACGAACCAGCCCAGCTTGCCCCGAGAAGGTGCGTCCGAAGGGTTGAGCTCCGAGAGGGCCCATCTGATGCGGAACCGGGCCCCAGACACGAACGATAAGCAGGCCAGCTTGCGGAGAGGCCGAAGAAGGTGATGAGAGGCGCCTCGGCCCTGGCAGGCCGCGAGCGCCAACGGCAAGTTGCCTGCCAGCAGGACCGCCCTCCGATTGAACGCATCCGAGGACCTCAGGATGTGCTTGGCGGCCACCATGAGGGCCTCACCTTCTGGCTCCAAGATGTTGGCGGACCCGAAGACCTTCGAGGCGAGCGCGGTGACCCGCGGGCCCTCCAGGATGCCCCTCGGCACCTCGTCGAACCTGGCCTCCGAAACCTCTAGAAACTTCTGAACATCTGTGAACTCGCGGACGCCATCTGCTTTGCCCACGGGGCCCCCAGAGGCTCGAGGCATCCGATCAGGACATGCAGGAAGCGAACTGCCAGCAGGCTGCTCGCAAATGTCGGGGGGGAGGTTGAGGGCGTTTTTCCTAGCTCGCTCAGCGCCCGCCACGTGATACCTCCAGCGCTCTGCATGCCGACCGACGACGCCTGCGCGCTCCGGCGCCACGACGCGAATGCACGCACCGATGCCGAAGAGGGAGGCGTCGGAGGAGGCGATGACATTGTGCCAAGGAATATCGATCTTGGTGAACAGAAGGGGGAGGATCGACCGAAACGTCCAAAGCTCCTGCCGAACGCTCGGCCACAGCTTCTGCGGGGTCTCGCCCACAGACTGCATATACTTAGAAGTAGCGCTGAAAAAGGCCAACACCTCTCTCCGAAGAAGCGAGACCCAGGTGATGCGCCCCATCACTATCTGAAGAGCCGAGCCGCTGCACGCGCCGCGCCTGAGCAAAGCCTCGATGCCGTGCCGAAGACGCCACAGATTTTTGGCCTTCACCGAAACCGTTGATCCGTTGGTGAACTCGAGCCCGACGAACGACACTTCTCGGCTAGCAGGGCCCACCTCGCGCACTGAAAGCCCCGGGGACTTCAGTCGGCGGCGCACTCTGTCCAGGCCGTCCTGAACGGCGGCTCGATCCGACCCAGGAATCATGATTATATCGACATACCCAGCGCCCGCCGTGTCCGACGCGCGCGCGAGAGACACAGCCGGCAGTCCGTCCTCGATCGTGTTCGTGGCATCGAAACCCTCGTTCACAAGTGCGCGTCGAAGGACGCTTTGACAGACGCGCAGGGCCCAGGGCCACCCCATCGGAAGAACGCAAACGCACGGAGCAATCATCTCATCAGGGGCCACTGGGGTCTCGTCGAGTTCCACGATGCCCAAAGGCCAAGCAGCGATCGCGGGCAGCCTAAACATCTCGTCAAGCCCGTCGAGGATCGCAAGCCTATGAAAAGCGCACTCGATGTCGCCAGCTGCAAAAAACGCCCCCCTCCCCACGTTCCCAAACCCCGAGAAGGCTCCCGGCGTAGGAAGACGTGTCCGAGGAGGGGCAACAAAACTGGCATTAGCAGCTCTCGCGTCAAACATGATTCTGAGGTCGCCAAACTTTTTGGCGACAAAAAATACGCCCACGGTGGCAGTACGTCCGGCGGCTCTGCGATGCTTCACCATCCCGCGCTGCCTCATTTCTGCTACAAAAATCGCCGTGCGGGTGATTCTTCAAAACTGGATCAGTGCAAAGCCCATTCGGACACAGCTCCGCGCGCAGAGATTCCGCAGCAGCAGGCGATCTGAGCATATGCTCGCGCCAGCAGCCGAGCCAATCCGAGTCGGCCCGCGCGAGACAATCGGCGAGCGCCGACGCAGCGTTGCCCCTAGCGGGCCAAGAGACGCTGCTCTTGACATACGGCCGACGGGTGGAGGACTCATCCGAGTAGAGACCTGACCCTGCAAAGAGCGCGTCGAGGGCTCCCTTGCGAAACGAGGGATCGCCAGGAAGGGCAGGGGCACCGAGCTAAGCCGACTCGATGTTCCGAAGGGCGTTGTCCTGATTAGCACTCCGCACCGACGGAGGCGGTGTACTGAAACCGGACAGCTGGTTGAGGCAGTCCACGCCGTCGCGAGCCCAGGCCAAGGCGTGAGAACTTCGCGCCAGCCGCGGGCGGTGCCCCGCGAGAGAAATGCCTCAACGCGGACGTCAGAGCCAGCGCCGGGAGCAGGCAGCGGAAAGATGCCCCGATGCCGGGCAGGGCACTGGGCAGACGCCTCTGCGCTGCTAATTTCAGCTCGCGCAGGCAGGCCAGCCGGAGACGCAGCTGGCCGGGGAAGCACCACCCCTGCCCCCGCTCTTTGTTGCCCTTGGGGCCCTTCTTGGGGCGCGCCAGGACTCGCTCCTCACGCGCCTTCCGGCGCCCCTTCATTACAGAGTACTCCTTCGAAAGCTCACCAGCGATCCACTCGGTGAGCGCGGGCAAGATGCAAATATTGCCTCGCACAAGGTCCGTGCCACGTGTGAGGTGGGTGTCGAAGCGATCGTCACTTCCCCCCGCGATCTTGTCCCGGTGGCGCTCCTCGGCCACCTGGAGCTCACGGGCTGCCAGTTCGGCCGATGCAACATTCGGCAAGTGGAGCTGGTCATAGCAAGCGAGAGTCTCTAGCAACCTGCATGCACATTCGTGCGAGTCGACATGGGGATCATATGGCTGAAGTGTGCAATATGCTCGCCATCTGTTGTGGTGGCCGAGAGGTGTGCACCCGTTTGATACAATAAACCTGCAGACCCATAAACAAGTTCTAGGACCCCGCGCGGGCCAGTCATCCCACGCATCTTCAGTGAAGAGCGACACTGCGTCTCTAAATTCCCGGAGTCGACCGCCAGTAGCATCGCGCAGCACGGGGCAAGTCCGAGCGTCGCCATGAGCGCCGACGGCCGGGGGAGGCGCAGCCGCAGCGGCAGGAAGAAGCGGAGGAGCTCCGAGCGCCGCCGCCGCGGCCGGCGCGGCAGGGACCCCCGCCCCCGCGGCCTCAGCGGGGGGGGCAGCGGGCCCGGGCGCAGGGCCGAGAGCGGCAGCGAGACGAGCGAGGCCCCCTCCAGGGGCGGGCGCTGCCCCGTCCGCGGCGGCACCCCCTCCAGGGGCGCCGGCCGCGGGCAAGAGGGCGGGCGGAGGTACAGCGGCTGGCACAGCGCCGCCGGCGAGGCTGCCTGCCCCTGGAGGGCCCGCAGCGCCACCAGCAGCAACACCAGGGACGCCAGCCACTGGACCTCCCCCCGCGGCGGCCGGGACAACCGCAGCGGCAGCTTCCCCTGCGGGTGCGCCGGCCACGGGTGCCCCGCCCACCAGTGGGTGGACGACGCCCGCCGGGGGCTCCAGCCCCATTCGGCGGTAGCACTGCGCGCGAGCCAAGGTGAGCTCGGCCACCGTCGGCAGCACGCGGAACCGGTGGTAGGCGGCGTGCGGACCAGCCTGCGCCACGAGCGAGTCGGGGCCGGGCAACTTGACCCAATCTAGCACATCCCCACCGCGCAGCAGCTCCTCCTCGTACTCGTCGCGGTCCGGGGTGATGACGCCCACGCCCACGAGGTAAGTGAGCGGAGTGCCGACGCAGCACCGCGCGTGCCAGAGCTCTGGTCCAGCAGCGTTGTACCGCATGGCGAAGAACTCCCCCTCCACAAGGCCGAGGGGGTGGCCACCAGCGGCCGCGGCCGCCATCACTGCACACGAGCAGCCCGTCGGGCGCGAGCGGCCGCCGACTGAGCCCTGGCCAGCTCCGCGGGGTCGAGGGCCTCGACCGCCGGCGTGGGCTCTGCGAGCTGCTGCGCCGCCCTCGAGCCAGCCTGAGCAGCCGGCTTCCTCCGGGCGCACCGCCTGGCGCGAGCGCCCGGCGCGAGGCGCTCGAGCTGCAAGCCGATGAATATGCCAGTGGCCAGGACCCCTGCGAGCAGCCCAGCCTGCTCCAGCGCCGGTGGGCGCTCGTGGATCACCTCCTTGAAGCTGGTGGGCTCCACTGGAGGGCAATCGCAATGCACCACCGGCGCGCAATCCGGGCAGCCCTGCCGACTATGGGCCCAGAGAAGGAGGCTGTTGGAGACCCCTCTGGCGAGTTCGGGAAGAGCCTCGAACGCTGCCTGCCGAAAGAAGTGCATAGGCCGTGGCCTGCTTGAGCCTTGAGAATTACGGAACACAGTTGGAGTGCGGCCAGATCTGTCACCACTTGGCTTAAAGTTGTGAAAACATCCATATACATATATATATATATATATATATATATATATATATATGTGTAACAAGGTCCGCCACGCCGCCCCAGAAAACGTCCGATCGTCGCCTTCAGATGCAGGCGGAGGGGCTGGCGGAGAAGAGCCGGGACTGTGGCCGTGCTCTCGCCCCACGCGAAAAACCTTGAGCAAATCGGACAGCCAACCCCGTTCTGGGCGGGCCGCTGCCTAGTGTGGCTGGCCTCGGATCAGAATCGCCGACCGGATGCTCCAGCAGACCGACGTCGGATATTTGTTTCTGTTTTGCACTTGCACCTTCCAGTGCTCGCTAGGTATGGTTCAGTTCTTGGTCTGAAAGGTGGCGGAAGATACGCCCCAAGCAGCGCGACGGCACCACAGCCAGCGCTCTGCAGAGAGCAGACTGACTTCGGACTTTGTGGCCAGCTCGCTGCCAGTCAACCCGAAGCACGACTCGCTGGAGATCGAGTGGTAGCGGACGGTCAGGTCACCGACAAAGATACGGCGCCAACAACATCCTCCTTTGCTTCTGTTTCCTCTCCCTCCGTGGGGGGCCAGTAGACGAAAATCGAATGTTATAAGCATGCATGTTCGAGGGTCCGCTCAGACTTCTTAGATCGGCGCTTGATCTCCTCCATGGATCACGCGGAGCGCGCCAGGGATGGCACCGAAGGCGCCGCCAGGGGGAGCCCAGCGCGGATCCAAGATATCCACGCGGACCTCCGACAACCAAAGTGGTTGTGCAATTTGTTCAGGCTCGACGCTGCACCCCTCCCCCCAAGCTCTGCAGGCCAACCAACCCAGACTCCCGACGTCGCGACTGCTTCACAGCGTGGACCCTCAGAGGTCTGGACCCCTCCCTTAAGATAAACCCAGGCTCCCCCTGGACCCCCAGAGGTCTGGATCCACCTCCACAGCTCCCGAGAGAAACCCACCAAGGCCTTAAACTTCAAAAACTCGTATCTGCTGGATGGCGCAAAACCCCAAGCTTTGCGTACTCATCCGCTTAATCATTGCCACGCGTGAACATCTCAGTCGTGCGACCCTCTCTTACATCATGCGTCGTGCTATGCGCTTTAACTTCGATGGCCTCTAAGCCATCCTCAAAAACGTGCCAGATGCGCTGCCACATGTGCGCACGCTCGTTCATGCTACTCACAGACCACAACCTGTTACGTACACACGCGGGCGTGCCGCTACAGTCACTGTGTATCACAATCTCACCGAAACAGCACTGCGTCGCCATCAGAACAGCGTAGTCCTCCGGGTCGCGCGCTCCCCCTCTCCCTCCTCCTCCTCCTCCTCCTCCTCCCCCTCCTCCTCCTCCTCCTCCTCCTCCTCCTCCTCCTCCTCCTCCTCCTCCTCCTCCCCCTCCTCCTCCTCCTCACGGCCGGGCGGGGAGGCGGTCCTCAGGGAACGCGGCTAGGACCTCCGCCAGGGCCTCGCGAGGCGCGCGCTCCCCGGGGGGGCGGGAGGCCGAGCGGCCAAGGGCGCGCCTCGGGCCCCCCGCGGCGCCCTGGGCGCTCCCCCCGGGGGGGGGGGGGGACCCTGCTGCAGGGGGTCAGAGGAGAGGAGGAGGAGGAGGAGGAGGAGGAGGAGGAGGAGGAGGAGGAGGGATAGCTGTTTGTTATCCTCTTTCCTTGTTTGAGCCTGTTTTCTTCAGATCCAGGCCAGGTTACGTGCATGGAATTAGCCCCCCCCCCATTCGCGCCTCCTCAATCGAATACGACCGTGCAAGTGCCTCTTCGACTGGCATGATATCCGGACGTCAAGTTGTTTTCGGCTTGCGTCAGGTTCAGCCGCCCCCCGTCCATGCACGTAAACTTACCCGAGTCAAAAAAAAAAGCTCCTGCTGCAGGGGAGGCTTCGGCCCCGGGGGAGCCAGAAGCCAGGAGTCTGGCTCGGAGGCGCGCCCCAAGGGGAGACGTTGTTTTTGATTTTGGTGTTGTTTCTGCTCTGACTGGCACTGGTACTGGTGCGCCAAACACCGCGCGGGGCGTGGACTAAGCCGGGCGCGAACAAGGAAGACGGCATCTGAATCAACAGAGAGAAGAGAGAGAGAGAGAGAGAGAGAAAACAACAAATGTCGGACAGTATGCTCGAAAGTGCACTGAGAATGCATCGCCGCGTGCTGAGCTGCTATCGTGCTAGCGAGCATGTGGGAACCGCGCGTCATGTCCACGGCAAATTCCTTGTGCGCCCGCCTGCTGTTTGTTCATCTTTGCACATCATTTGTTTTGTTGTGATTGTTGAGATGTGTGTTATTGTTGTTAGTGGTATTAGTATTATTGTTAGTCTTAGTAATAGCATTATTGTTATTAGTATGATTGTTAGCATTGTTATTATTAGTATTGATAGTATTGTTATTATCAGTATTATTACTATTATTACTATGCTATGTTCTGTTTTTGCGGGGGGGGGGGGGGCAAGACCTTCTCAGAAGGCGGCGGGGCTCTTCGGAAGCCCTCCCGCGTCCTGGAGCGCTCGCATGTGGCTTCGGATGAGGCTCGGGCAGAACTCTCTCTCTCTCTGAGCTTTCTGCGGAGGCCCGCCCCCTCTGCCTTCCCCCCTGGGCAGGCCACCGACTGGCGCACAAGGGGATCGCAGAAGCGAGCCTCCTTTTCACCTCCCGGAACCCCTCCAGGACCCGCAGACACACCCAAGGGACGCCTAACACCTGCTGGATCCTCGACTCCCTCCTCCTCCATCCTCCTGCCATCCTCCTCCACCCTTCTCCTCCCCCTCCTCCGCCTCCTTCTCTTCTTCTCCTCCATTCCTTGTCCTTGCAAATACCTCCTGCCTGTCGCACCCCGAGGCCGGTCGAAAGGGCGGGCCAGGCGTTTCGCCGGATATTTCCTGACCGTGTATGACTATGAAGCGTAAACGTTGGCAACAGCTTCGCATATGGAGGGTGGGTAGCTTCCAAAGTGTGGCTCTCGCTTCCGCGCCGCGCATAATCGGTTTAAGACTTCGCAGAAGAGTTTCACAGATTGAGTGCGGGTCGCTTTCAAAATGTGGCTCTATTTTTGGCGCCGCGCGCATCGTTAAAATTTGCCAGAGGTTCACGTATTGAAGAGTGAGGGTATACCGTTTTCAAAATGTTGCTCTCGCCTTCGCGACAATGTGCAAGAGTTTCACATATTGAGGAGGGGTCGATTCAAGAATTTGGCTCTCGCCTTAGCGCCGCGTACATTCGTTCAACAAATAACCAGAGATTCACAGATTGAGGGCGTCTCCTTTTCACAATGTGGCTCTCGCCTCAGCGCCGCACACTCGTCTTAAGTAGTTGCAAGAGTTTCACGGATTTCCATTGCTAGCGAGCCAGAAATTATGTTTTGGAAAGACTCTGGACTACGAGGGCACAACAGCTACGTTGATTCGCTGTATTGAAGTCCCAAGGACGGTGTTCTGGCACGACTGCGGATCGCCAAGACGCAACAATCATGTTGATTCGTGGCGTTGGAGTCCCAGGAATAATGTTTTGGCTCGATTCAGGGTCTTCAAACAGTTGTCTCCAAACGAGGCAGTTCCCTACGTGGAAATGGACCTTTGATGGGGGCCATGGAAAGGGAGCTTGGAGGGATGGCTTATTCCAACATCGTTGATGAGGCTTGAGTTTACACTGGTCTTCCTCCTCCTCATCATCCTCCTCCTCCTCCTCCTCCATCCTTCCTCCTCCTCCTCCTCCTCCTCCATCCTCCATCCTCCTCCTCCTCCTCCATCCTCCATTCTCCTCCTCCATCCTCCTCCTCCATCCTTCCTCCTCCATCCTCCATCCTCCTCCTTCCTCCTCCTCCTCCTCCTCCATCCTCCTCCTCCTCCTCCTCATCCTCCCCCTCCTCCTCCTCCTCCTCCTCCTCCTCCTCCATCCTCGTCCTCCATCCTCCTTCATCCTCCTCCATCCTCCTCCATCTCCTCCATCCTCCTCCATCCTCCTCCTCCTCCTCCTCCTCCTCCTCCTCCTCCTCCTCCTCCTCCATCCTCCATCCTCCTCCTCCATCCTCGTCCTCCATCCTCCTCCATCATCCTCCCTCCTCCATCCGCCTCCATCCTCCTCCTCCTCCATCCTCCTCCATCCACCTCCAGCCTCCTCCATCCTCCTCCTCCTCCTCCTCCTCCTCCTCCTCCTCCTCCTCCTCCACCATCCTCGTCCTCCATCCTCCTCCATCCTCCTCCATCCTCCTCCATCCGCCTCCATCCTCCTCCTCCTCCTCCGCCTCCTCCTCCTCTTTCTCGATTTCCTGGAGACCCTCCCTCGACAAGCACCAACCTCAACCCCTGGGCCCGGAAACCTCAGGCCCCCGACCCGAAAATTCTAGGGCCGGCAACCACCCACCGCAACGAGCCTCGGCCGAGGAGTGGCATGGACCTGCCCGCCTCGGCACCCAATGTAGGAGGGGGAGGAGGTGGAGGAGGAAGAGGAGGAGGAGGAGAGGAGGAGGAGGAGGAGAAGGAGAGAGGGGAGGAGGGAGGAGGAGGAGGAGGAGGAGGACGACGACGACCTGCCCGCCACGGCACCCAAGGCCATGTCAGACGAAGCCAGGACGAGGATCAACTTGAAGGGGCCCAGAGACACGCGAAGAAATAGACAGACGTCTCAGGATGCGTTTCGTCTTCTCCCCACTTCCAATATTTTCCAGTGTTTTCCTGGGAGTCGGCGATTACTTGAGAATGTATGGTTGTCCCCTCCTGAGAATTCTGGGGTGTTGCCATTCGTGCCCCTGGCCCAAGGTGCCCCCAGGATTTCCAAGGAGCCGCCCACGGCCTCAAGAGCACCCCATGACGAGGCCCAGAAGGCCCCAGGGGCCCGCAAATTCAGCGAAAAACTGGAGGAACCCTGGGCCAGGGGCAGCTTCATCTCCGACATACGGGTGAGGATAAAGCGAGAATCTCTAAGATCTGGCGGCTCTGGAGGATGTCTCGGGCGCCGCGGCCTTCTCAGAGCGTTCTGGAACGCTCTGGAACGGATTTGTCCTCGTCCTATCCCCGTCCGAGGCGGCCCTGAGCGAAAATCCAGGAAAACCTGCCAAACGCATTCAAGGTCGGGCGTGTCTTTTGATGGGGGGTGACCGAACTGGGGGGCGAAGAGAAGGGCCCCCAAGGGGCCCTCTGGGGCCTCCTTTGGAGCAAGCATGGGCCCAAACAGGGACACTCAAGGGCCCCTTTGGGGCTCGTCTCTTTGCCCCCATAACTGGCCATCGCTCGAACGCCCATTCCCCACGCATTTTCCGCTTCTGCGCATGGATTTCCTCGCACGATGACCAGAGATGATCCTCGATGACCCCCGACGGGAAGAATGCGCACGTCCGTGCGATGCCAAACTCGAGTCGGGCGCACTCAAACATGGATTGGGGATCCGTGGATCTGGCGCGTGGGCGCCAGATGCATGGATCGGGGAAGGCACCCCCGAAGAACGGCGCCGGTGCCGCCCGATCTGGGGACGGAGAGCGCCGATGTCGCACAACAACGGGACCCGTCGCTAATCCACGTGCCTTAATCCATGTTAGCGAATCCTCGATCGTCTTAGGCCCCGTCCGGCCATGCCTGTGCTGCTTCGCAAGATGGCCAGAGATGATCCTCGATGGTCCTCCACGGGACAAAATGCACACGTCCGTGCGATGCCAAGCTCAAGGGCCCCATTTGAGGCCCTTGTCTTCGTCCATGGCCCCGTCGGACCATGCCTGGAGCAGTGCCGAAGGGGTTCACCACTGGGGGCGCCGCCCCTTCCTCGAGGAAGCGCCACTACCTCGAGGATGTGGGCCCTGAGCACTCGGGAGCCCCCTCCTCGCACAAAGCTACCCCGAGAACGTAAGCAAACAACTCCTCGAGCGTCCCTCCTTAAAAGGACCGAGGGGCACACAAATAAACGGACACAAATCCCAGGATCCCCAATCCGCCGGTCCCCTTGCGGGGCCATCAGGCTGCGAGGATTAAGGTTGCTGCTCCCTGCACCAGTTCCAGTTTCCAGTTTCCATTGTTACAGTACTGCTTTCAGCTTCCTACTGTAACTTGTTACTGTCCGCGCGAGGGGGGGGGAGCCGAAAAGGGCCCTGGTTAGCGTCCCCCGGGAGGGTTCTCAGAATTTCTGGGGGGGCGTGGGACACGTAAAAATACTTGAGTTTCGTGCCCCCGAAACCAGAATCCCTCGCAAATTACGCTGTACTCGCGCCCCCGAGGCCACGATCCCTCGTAAATTACATCGCATTCGCGTCTCCGAGGCCACGATCCCTCGTGAGTTACGCCACATTTGCGTCTCCGAGGCCACGATCCTTCGAAAATTACTCCGCGTTCGCGCCCTCGAGGCCACGATCCCTCGTAATTTACGCTACATTCGCGCCACCGAAGCCACGATCCCATGAAATTTACTTCATTGTCGCGCCCCCGAGGCCACGACCCCTTGTAAGTTACGACAGAGTCGCGCCCCTGACGCCACGATCCTTTGTAAATTGCGCAGCGGGCGCGCCCCCAAGGCCACGAATCCACCTTGCGGAGGCTGCCGAAAAGGCGGTCCCCCTCTCCAAAGCAGAAAAATTAGAATTTTCTGTATTGGGATATGTGCTCCGCTGGTATTCTTTTGCCCCCCCCCCTGGAAAATTCGGCGGTGGGTTCCACATTCACCTCCCCAGGCCACGATCCCTCGTAAGTTACGCCAGATTTGCGCCCCGGATGCCACGATCCCGCGTGAATTACGCCACATTCGCGCCACCGAGGCAACGATCCCTCGTAAATTACGCCGCTGTCGCGCCCCCCAGGCCACGATCCCTCGTAAATTACGCCACATTCGCGTCCCCGAGGCCACGATTCCCCGCAAATTATACCAAATTCGCGTGCACCCCCCACGCTACGAATCCACCTCGCGGAAGCTGCCCAAAGGCGCCACTCCTTCTCCAGAGCAGAAAAAAAATCACCTTCCCAGAGATTGCCTGAAGCAATCCCTAGCCGTTCCCAGAGCGCTTCCAGTGAAGACCTGGAGGGAAATGCCAAGAAGGCAACAAAGCGTTCAACAACAACTTCAACATCTCAATCTATTTTGCTCATCGCCAGCCGCCCTAGCATGACGTTCCCGAATGTCATCAAGACGGCGCCCGAACATCCCAATATAGCTCTGATGTATCCCATTATGATAGAGAGGGGGCCGGCGGCAGGGGGCGAAGCCCTTACGGATATTATCTGTCCATATTTTCCGCATGTTCGTCTTCCCCCCTACTTCCCATGGTTTCCAATATTGTCTTGGGAATCGACGATCAATTGTGTCCCCCCCCCCCCGACTGCTGGAACCTCGATCTCCAGGGGGAATTGGTGACCCCCTAGGAGTCGACTGCACGCAAGAGCGATCCTGGGGAAGAAAGGCATTTGGGGCGCGGCTTCCGCGGATCTGCGGGGGCGGGGGGGCAAGCCAAAGCGCGCAAGACACTGCTGCTGTCGCATCGCGCTCGGCGACTGGGGGACCACAATGGACCCGCACGAGAGGTCACTCCAACGAAGTGTCACTCTTACGTGTAGTCGATCGTGGTGGCCCACCTTGGCACTGCCCGAGTATCGCCATATCCACCATGCGAAACCATTAAATGTTGCCAAACATGCAGAATTGGACCAGTGGGAGCAAACAACTGCGCCGAAAGCTCAGGAAGATGCGACCACTTCTCGCTAAGGGTCAAAGAAACATGACCCTGACCCCCGATCCATCGAACGCCGCCTCCCTAGAACAGTTCACGGTCCAGGCCTCCTCATGTCAGCTGCAAGCATGCGTGTTTCGCTAATCAATGCAACAATAACGGCCTCTCGAATGCGCTCCGAGCAAATGGAGTCGGAGAATCGCGCCGTATCACCGATGAATCGCCGATGCACCGGGTAGGCTTCGGCGACGGCGGCATCGAAAAGGCCAAGTCCATATCGAGTCGCAACGCCTATGCCTCGGCGATGCAGGGCGATCTTCCGACCCCGCCCGTCCACTCAGACCCCATCTGGGAGGCCTGGAAACAGGCTCCCACCCCTCCCCTTCTCAACATAGAGAAAGACAGAAGTTACATAAAATTAAATGTGTGGACTCCCCCATCCTCTCGGGCGGAGCGCGCCAGGGGCGCTGCCGAAGGCGACGCCAGGCGGGCCCCAGCGCAGATCCAAGAAACCCGCGCGAAAATGCAACAAACATATGTTTATGCAATTGCTTACTATCTGCCCGACGACCCCAATCTAATCCGGATACCAAAATTATCCCAGCAAAGCAACCTAACAGCGATGTGTAGGAGCATATCTGGAAGCATTCCCCTTAAGATTCAGATGAGAATCCTATTGTAGAATTATGCTGTTCTCGCAGTCGTAGTCGCATTCGCACTGGCAGTCGCAGTGGCAACGGCAGTCGCAGTCGCAGCCTCAGCCTCAGCCTCAGCCTTCCTCAGCCTCAGCCTTCCTCAGCCTCAGCCTGCCTCAGCCTCAGCCTCAGCCTGCTTCAGCCTCAACATCAGTCTGCCTTCAGCCTCGGCCTCGGCCTCAGGCTGCCTCAGCCTCACCCTGCATCAGCCTCAGCCTCAGCCTCAGCCTGCCTCAGCATCAGCCTGCCTCAGCCTCAGCCTCAGCCTCAGCCTCAGCCTCAGCCTCAGCCTCACAGCCTGCCTCAGCCTCAGCCTCAGAGAGCCTGCCTCAGCCTCAGCCTCAGCCTGCCTCAGCCTCAGCCTCAGCCTCAGCCTCAGCCTCAGCCTGCCTCAGCCTCAGCCTCAGCCTGCTTCAGCCTCAGCCTCAGTCTGCCTTCAGCCTCGGCCTCAGCCTCAGCCTGCCTCAGCCTCAGCCTGCATCAGCCTCAGCCTCAGCCTCAGCCTGCCTCAGCCTCAGCCTGCCTCAGCCTCAGCCTCAGCCTGCCTCAGCCTCAGCCTCAGCCTGCTTCAGCCTCAGCCTCAGTCTGCCTCAGCCTCGGCCTCAGCCTCAGCCTCAGCCTCAGCCTCAGCCTCAGCATCAGCCTCAGCCTCAGCCTCAGCCTGCCTCAGCATCAGCCTGCCTCCTCAGCCTCAGCCTCAGCCTGCTTCAGCCTCAGCCTCAGTCTGCCTTCAGCCTCGGCCTCAGCCTCAGCCTGCCTCAGCCTCAGCCTGCATCAGCCTCAGCCTCAGCCTCAGCCTGCCTCAGCCTCAGCCTGCCTCAGCCTCAGCCTCAGCCTGCCTCAGCATCAGCCTGCCTCAGCCTCAGCCTCAGCCTGCCTCAGCCTCAGCCTCAGCCTCAGCCTCAGCCTCAGCCTGCCTCAGCTCAGCCTGCCTCAGCCTCAGCCTCTCAGCATTCAAAATGTGGCCCGGGAATGGAGTTCTGGGAACTCGAAAGACACGAAGTGGCCTACAGTTGGCTCCGGGCATTCAAAATGTGGCCCGGGAATGGAGTTCTGGGAACTCGAAGACCACGAAGTGGCCTACAGTTGGCTCCGGGCATTCAAAATGTGGCCCGGGAATGGAGTTCTGGGAACTCGAAGACCACGAAGTGGCCTACAGTTGGCTCCGGGCATTCAAAATGTGGCCCGGGAATGGAATTCTGGGAACTCGAAGACCACGAAGTGGCCTACAGTTGGCTCCGGGCATTCAGAATGTGGTCCGGGAATGGAGTTCTGGGACCTCGAAGACCACGAAGTGTGTAACTGTTGGCTAAAAAAAATCCCCGGCACCCTTCCGCGGATCGCGCCCAGACTCCCCTGGGGCGTCATGATGCTCTCTTTTGACCCTACTAGAAACCTATCAGTCTTCGCTGTTGGGTAATTTCGGCTTGGGGGGGGGGACTGGTTCCTCATGTGTTTGTTACACTACTCTCCGACGCCCCGTCCCACTGGGAATGGAGGGCACATCGGAGCCTTCGTGTCGGGCTGGGGTGGTTTGGTGGGTGGTGAGTTGCTTGTTCAGGGGAACGAACATAAACATAAAGATGACAACTCGGAGGTCCGCGCGGATTTCTCGGATCTGCGCTGGACCCCCCTGGCGGCGCCTCCAGCGCCGCCCCTGGCGCGCTCCGCGCGCCAAGGAGGGGGGGTCCAGCGCCGATCCGAGAAATCCGCGCGGACCTCCGAGTCTTTATTCTTATGTCATTGTTCGTTCCCCTATTGTTCTGCGAGGGTTGCCTGGTCGGTCTGGCCAGCCTCCCTGTTCCTACCGTCGATGGCATCCCCGAGCTGCACCGCGAAGTCCACCGCGTCCTCGCCCACCCAGCGCGCCACCGCCCGCCTGGAGGCTCCCGCCCGAGGCGCCGCGGCGCGCGGCCAGGGAGGACGGCGTCGTCGTCGTCGACGTCATCGCCGTCGCCGTCGTCGTCGTCGTCGGCAGTTCCTTCGATCGTTCGTTCGTCTTTGTCGGTTGCTGTCGTCACTGTCGTGGTCCGCGGGAGACCAGGTCACAAGGCAATCCCCTTGAGGCTTTCGCAAAACCGATCAAGGGCTGCTCAGCCCGAATCAGGTGCCATTCAACTCGATCGAACCGGATCCCATGATAAAGCAGAATTAAACAGGCTTCGCTCCCAGTTCCCCCTGTCCAAGCCCGCAGTCTGCAGCTCGACCCAAGGCGGAAGAAAGAACGGGGGTGGCGTTGCCGTTCCTGGCTGCCTTCGTGAGGGCGGCGGAGGCGCGCTAGACAACGGCCCACGGCGCACGGCTGAGAGAGGAGGGGCGGAGGAGGAGGAGGAGAAGGAGGAGGAGGAGAAGGACAAGGAGGAGGACGAGTAGGGGGAGGAGGAAAGGGAGGAGGAGGAGGAGGAGGAAAAGGAGAAAGAGGAGGGCGAGGAGGAAGAGGAGGAAGAGGAGGAAAACGAGGGGGACGAGGACGAGGAGGAACATGAGGAGGAGGAGGAGGAGGAGGGAGAAGATGAGGAGGAGGAGGAGGAAAAGGAGAAGGAGGAGGAGAAGGAGGAGGAGTAACAGGAAGCGAAAGAGGAGGAGGAGGAGGAGGAGGAGCAACAGGCGGTGGCCAAGACGCCAAACACCAATGTCGCTGGGCGGTTGCGCCGCCGAGCTGCTGCGCAGCACCATCCCGGACGCCCCCGGCCGGCGCGCGGCCGGATGCTGTCCAGCGCATGTGGCCGAAACTCGGACAAACCATTCAGGGGGTGAAAGGAGGAGGAGGAGGAGGAGGAGGAGGAGGAGGAGGAGGAGGAGGAGGAGGAGGGAGGAGGGAGGAGGAGGGAGGAGGGAGGAGGGAGGAGGGGGAGGGAGGGAGGAAGGAGGGAGGAGGGAGGAGGGAGGAGGAGGAGGAGGAGGAGGAGGAGAAGGAGGAGGAGGAGGAGGAAGGAGAAAGAGGAAGGAGGAGGAGGAGAAAGAGGAGGAGGAGGAGGAGCAGGATCAGTATCAGGATCATGAGCAGGAGCAGGAGGAGGAAGAGGAGGAGGAGGAGGAGGAGGAGGAGGAGGACGTCTTTGGGACGTTTTTTGGGGTGCGTCGCGCCCCCCCCACCCAGGAAGAGGAGAAGGAGGAAGAGGAGGAGAAGGAAAAAGAGGAGGGGGATAATGAAGAGGTGCAGGAGGAGGCGGAAGAGGAAGACGAAGAGGAGGACGAGGAGGAAGAGGAGAAAGGCAACGGAAGCCTGCTCCGAAGATGGGTTGGGGCTTCCCGCGCAGCGCGGATCCCAGCGCCAAGTTTGCGAGTGCGTGGACGTGGACCGGCGCACGCGGGAGGAAGAAAAAAGGGAGGGAGAGGAAGGGAAGGAGAGTCAACAGACGGCAACACAACTCCCGGGTGTTTTGAACACTTGCGCACGGCACTCTGGGCCTGGGAAATCAAAAGGAGGGCGGCGAACAGGCAAGAGGGCGGCGAACGCAGGCAATGCCAGCTAGCACGCAAGCGAACGGCGGGGCGGAACAGGGGTCGCAGGCGGGGGGCGCGAGTCACCGGACCCCGCCGCCAGGCGCGAAGGCAGGGCGGGCGGAGGAAGGGAGGGGGGGCTAGAGGCCTCCAGGATGGGGTCCGACTTGATGAGGTCGGGGAAGCGCGCCGCATCGCCGATACATCGCCGATACATCGGCAATGCACCGACGGCGTCGCCGATGCATCGCCGACGTCGGCGTGGAAAATAAGGTTGCCACATCCAGCCGCATCGGCGCTGCGGCGCGATCCTCCGACCCCATCTGCCCCGACCCCATCTGGGAGGCCTAGCAGCAAGCGGCGGGGTGGGGGCGCGGCCAGGGCCGAGGTCGGGGCGCACGCAAGCCCGCCCTTGTTCGTCTGCGCCGCGGTCGGGCCAGAACGCCCCCGACGTGGGCGGCCGCCCGCCGCGACGGCGATACGCTGGCCGCGCTGACTGGGCGGCGGGCCCGCCAGGCCCTGTCCGAGCATCCGCTCCGCGGTGCAAGGCGGGTCGCGACTGCGCGGAGGACGGATGACGGTCTGGAACGTCACTTCTTTGGACGCCCAAAACGGGCACGAAGAGCATGGGTAGGATGCCCAACAACAGGTGTTGTCCAAAACCGACAGCGGCCGCTGTTGGGTAGGCGGCTTTCGGTCTCAAAGGGGCAGCGGCCGCGGCGACGCCGACAGCGAACCTTGTTCAGAATGAACAGGAACTGTCGTTGGACTTTGCGCCCGTTGCTGCCGTAGCAAATTCGATTGTCCCGAACTTCGGGAGGGGGGGTATTGCGCCGTCTTGGTGTCGTACATGCTGGGCACGCAAGCCGGGCTGGCGTTACACGCGCCGGAGGCGGTCCCGACGTCGAGCGCCGCGAAACCGTACCCCAACGCCCCAGTGATGACCACGGCCGAGGGCCGCAGACGGGTGCCCAGAATGAGGTCATGCGTCCCTTGCGCGGTGGCGAGGTCGCAGCTCTTGGCAGCCTTGTACTCATGCTGTGCAAGCGCGTGGTGGATCTTCGTTGCTTCGGCACGGCTGCAGCGTGCGAGCCCGCGGAGTCGAGCAGCGCGGTGCCGCAGAGGTGACACGGGGTGAACTCGCTGGGGCCCGAGGCGCCATGGCGAAGCCGGAGCACTTCGACGGAGTCCTGATGGTCGAAGAGGGGCCCCATCTGCTAGCTAAGGGCCCAAAGCTACTCGTGTTATAATACTAAAGAATACTGTCACGGTGGCTGAGGTCCTCCAAGCGTCGCAGCGCTGGGCCGTTGCCAGCCTGATTTGCGCGGGATCAAGCAAGGTTGAGCAATATTAGGCCGCGGCCAGTTTCCGACCACGCAGGTACCAACGCCGATGCTGAACAACACCTCCCAGAAATTGCGTCCGAGGCCAGGGAGTCCAGCTGGGGGGGGGCATGCGCCACACGTTACATGCCGCCCCCCCCGACCCCCTTCACCCACTACGCTTCTATGTTGCGTGCGTGTGTACGTGTGTTTGTCTTTGCGTGTGAATGGGCGGTAGTGCGTGCGTGTGTGCGTGCGTGTGTGTGCGTGTGTGTGGTGTGTGTGTGTGCGTTCCCTCCCAGTTTCTCCAAGGGTAAGCCCTTGCCCAAATCAGTGCAGGCGTGCTGGTATGATATTGGCGTCCGCCGGCGTCCCTCAACGCCTTGAGCACTGTCACCACGAATGCAGCCCAACCTGTGCCGCTGCTGCTGCCTGCAGCCAGGGAGAGGGAGAGGATCACCGCTAGGTCGGGCGTGTCCTCCTACAGGCAGATTTTCTACGACAGATGAAAATTAGCCATACAAATATGCAAACATAGTCAAAAAGATGGGAAACCAGTTGTCCCCAGACTATTCTTGGACTATTTTGGAATATTACTCCTGTAGAGGGACACACCCGACTTCAAGGCAGGGAGTGGGAGAGGACCATCGACTCTTCGACGCGAGGGGTCCTTGCCAGGCGGGGCTTCGCGGGGCTCCTCTCGGCGGCAGGCCCCGGGGGGGGGAAGGCCGAGGCGGCCGGCCTTCTCAGAAGGCGGCCGGCCTTCTCAGAACCCTCGCGCCCAGGGAGAAGCCGTCTGTGGATTCGGAGAAGGCCCACAGTAGAGACCCATGCCAAAAAACACCCTGCTTGCCTCCAGGGTGCCCTGGGTTTTCTGGGTTTCGATGGCTTCGCCATGGGGAAGCGTGACGTTCCCACACCAAAAATCCATGGATGTCCTGGAGTCTCAGGGTTGGGTGTCTTGTGGGAGGGTTCATGGGGGCAGGCCTCCACTGCAGGACACATCTCGGAAGGCCGGATGCCTTCTGAGCCTGGCGCGAAGGCCTACGCCCTCTGCCTGCCTCAACGTGAGCGCTGCGTGCATGCGAGCCTCGCTGGATGTTCTGCAAGTGAACAGAACCACCGCCAGCCGCACTGGATGGGAATACGGAAGTATTCGAGGCGATTGCGAAGTGGAACCTACTGTAAGGCGGCGCTCTTGCACAGTGGGTACAGTCGGACTTGAGTGGAGAGAACACGCGAGGGGACACAAGACTCTTCCGACGGCAGCGTGGTCCCAGAACGCCAAAGGACATGCGGCTTGCAGAGGTCGGATTAGACAGGACACAAGGGTACCCTCGATTTGGCATGGTCGACCTATAAATGAAGCTCGACTGTAAGGCACAACGTAAACGTGTCAAGAAGCCCCACATGCCCAACATGTGGGACGCTGGAGCGTACAGACATCAACTTCCTGCGCCGAATTCATTGGCTCCTTGACCGACAAAACAACGTGGCATATACATCCAGCCCCTCCGACTTGCACAATGGGTTAGGCGCAATGTGGACGTGTCGAGGAGCTGGCTCGGATGCCGAGCTGGTTTTGCCCCTTGGCCCGCCCCCGAACAAGGCCCCCGATACCCCTCCTCCTCCGACGCCCCAAGGCTTCCGCTCGACGTCATACAGTGATTGACAAGAGAAGGACACCTGACCCTTGGGGAGGGGACATATTAGCAGGGCCAAAAACATGAGGGATAGGGCCAAAGACAATAGGGATTAGGGACTAGGGCCACCAAACTGCAGATGCATAAGACCTCACCGCCCAGAAGTATCGTCCTTAATGCAAAAAAAGAACACCTAAGTGAGGCCACGTCTTCACTCTGTCACTAGGGTCAGGGGTTATCTCATCCTCGATGATACAGCCTCTCATCCAGACTCGCCAAATCACAGGCGGGCAAGACGCATGGGCAAGCGCGCTTACGCCTCGTGAGCTGCAGCGCGTTCCGGAAGTACCTGCAGGCTGGCAATCTAAGATAAAGCTCCCCAGACATCTCGCTGTTTACTAGGCGCCTTGTCGTAACAATCTGGGGCAGCACGTGCGCAGGGAAGGAAACGCACATACTATGCAGACGCATCTCGGTACAGGGTCCTTGTGACAAGGGAGGAGGGCCAGCACACCGACCGCGGCACGAACGAGAGAGCGGGAATGACGAAGACAGACACGTGGCGCAAGCGCTGCCAAACGAGGGAACCAGAAGCATACATCGAGCAGAGGGAACTAGTGGGCGAAGGGAGGATGGTGCAGGGAAAACACCATAGGACACGTGAAAGGTAGGATGGATAGGTGGCATCGACATTCGAAGAGCCGAGGGTTTCCTTGAGGGGAAGGCGGTAAACAAACCAACCAAGAGTCACGATTATTCAGAATTCCAATAAACGGTCGAATTGATGGTAAAACTACAAGGTGTATGTCCCTATGCTGACATCAAGAAATTCGACTGAGCCGTCCTGGCGAGCCTGTGCTCGACACCGGTGTCGGCGACTCGGGGCCCCCGGGTACCGTCTTCGGAGCCTCTCTTGGAGCCTTTCTGCCCGTTCTGGGGCGCCTTGGCTCCGAACAAGTTTGGACACCTGCTGGCTGCTTTATCGTAGCTTGCAAGCCCGAGCCCCTGGTCCTCCTTTCCAGGGTAAGGCCTCCCACCCGCTGGATTCCCACAGAAGCCCATAACAAAGAAAGACGCCACCGTTTCTGGATAAACATGTCCGCTAAGCCTAACGTCGCTGATGATCTTGGAGACCGCAGGAAGCTTGGAAAACAAACAGCAACAACTCCACGGGGCGGCACCTCTTCTGGTAGCCGGAGAAATCTGCAGGCGCTAGGTTTTCCTCACCAATCCCTGGCGATCCCTGCTGATTGTGCTTCACTCGCGTACGAATTATCAACATCTAAACAAGATAATGAAAACAGTGGTTGTAGCATACATCTCATTGTACACTGCGCATACAACAGACAACACAATACTTGGCATTGTGCCATCTTTCACTGCGTAAGCTTTCTCACCTCCTGCACCTCTTTCGATCCTGTCGGCCCGCGTGCGGGGGAGTCCTAAGGTTGGCGTGCTGGATGGTCATGGGAGACGTTTGCCCTCCTTTCCTTGTGGCCACCCAGGCCTTCCAGGCCCGCCAGCCCGAAGCGATTCGACCCATGTCGCAATCGAACTCAACGGTAGCTCCTTACCTCGGGCGGGTGGCAATGGGGGGTCACCTACATGGGGGGGTGAAGAGAAGGCCTCCCAAAGGGCCCCTGCTAGCCCTGAAAGGGGCCCCAAAAGGCCCCTGTTGGGCCCTTTTCGTTATCTTCCAAGCCGGTGAATGTGGGCAATATGAAAGAGTCCAACTCCGTTCACTGAACAGAACTGGGCTAGAGGAAAAAAGAAGCTAAGGCCCCGCCCTCATGGAGTCCTCCCTCTGTAGTTTCATGACCGTCTCGCCGCGGTGAACCACCCCCCCATCAATACCCGCCCGATCTCCTTCCTCACCTCCCCGCCGGGGTCGGTCCCAGGAGGGGAGGAGGAGGAGGAGGAGGAGGAGGAGGAGGAGGAGGAGGAGGAGGAGGAAGAGGATGAGGACGAGGAGGAAGAGGAGGAAAAGGAGGAGGCGGAGGCGGAAGAGGAGGACGAAGAGGAGGAGGAGGAGGAGGAGGAGGACGAGGAGGAACAGGAGGAGGAGGAAGAAGAGGGCGATGGGGAGGGAGGAGGAGGATGAGGAGAAGGAGGGGGAGAAGAGGAGGAGGGGGAGGAAGAGGGCGATGGGTAGGGAGAAGAGGAGGACGAGGAGGAGGGAGGAGGACAAGGAGGAGGCAGGAGGAAGAGGAGGAGGAGGAGGAGGAGGAGGAAAAGGAGGAGGAGGAGAAGAGGAGGGGGAGGAGGGGGAGGGGGAGGAAAATCACGACAAGGAGGAGGGAGGAGGAGAACGAGGAAGAGGGATGAGTCATGGAATCATGGGTCCAAAAAGTGGGCTGTGCCCACCGCAACGGCAGGCAACCGGCACCCCCGGCCGGCCTCCCGTTTACGGGAGGAATCGGGCCCGAAGGCGCGCGCGCCCACGAACGCGGGATAGTCAGCTACCTCGTCGCCCAGCGACCTGCCTCCAGCCGGCAGGGCGTGGTGCGTAGGGGGACGATCGGTTCACCTCGTCATTACGAGGTACTTCCCGATTACCAATCCCTGCCCAATCAGCTGGCATGCGCAACTGGGTTTGTTCCCCAGGGTGAGTGGACACACGGCCACCAGGGGACTTACGGGCCACATGGCCCGCCTCTCAACCAAATGAGCAAATCCCTGGTGCCTGGTACCCATCTCCAGGTCACGGAGCGTGGCAAACGCCGCTGCCACGGGCAACAATGCCACGCGGCTGGTTCCAGAAGGCGTGACGCGGTTGGTTCCAGAAGGCGCGATGCGGTTTAGCTGCCCCCAGTCACCGCATGCAGTCGACTCTGACGGCGTGCCCCGAAGAGTATATGTGGCGCTGACACCACGAAACTGGTGCCAGGCCCCCACCCTCTGGGCGAGGAGGAGGGAGGAGAAAGAGTAGGAGGATGAGAAGCATCAATGTAAACCCGAAAACCATCAACGATGTTACAATAAACCCTCCCTCCGAGTTCCCTCTTCATAGGCACCTACACGGGTTCATTTCCACTGAGGGAGCTGCTCTGTTGGAAAGCACCAGTTTGAAGACCCTGACGCATGCCAAAACATCGCACTCGGGATTCCATTGCCACGGATCAATTTGACTGTTGCGTCTTGACGATCTAACCCCCCTCTCAATGTGTGAAGATGTTGACAACTGTTCAAACGAATGTGCGCGGCGCTAAAGCGAGAACCACATTTTGAAAACCGCTCGCCCTCAACCCGCGAGACTCTGGCAAATACTACAAAAAAATGCACGACGCGCAAATGCGAAAACCACATGTTGAAAACCACCCGCCCTCCATGTGTGAAACTGTCGAAAAATTGTCGAACGAACGTGCGCCGCTACAGCGAAAACCGCATGTTGAAAACCACCCGCCCTCAATCCGTGGAGCTCTCGCAATTTGTTTAAACCAATGCGCGCGGCGCTAAGGCGAAAACCACATTTCGAACACCACCCGCCCTCCATGTGTGAAGCGGCTGCCAACTAATGAATTTCAAAATCGTCAAACGTGACGAACACCCGGGCGAATCGACCAGCCCGCACCAAAAACTGGCCCCGGGGTGCGACAGGGAAAAGTTTCCGTTTAAGGAAAAAGGGTGGAGGAGGAGAAAGAGGAGGAGGAACAGGGAGGAACACAAGTGCAAACCCAAGACCCATCAACGATGTTGGAGTAAGCCCACCCCCCAAACTCCGTCCTGATAGGCCCCTACAACGGTTCATTTCCATCGATGGAAGTGCCTCGGTGGAAGGCACCCGTTTGAAATCCCAGTTGAATGCCAAACCATTGTCCTCGGGTATCCAGCGCCACGGATCAACCTGACTGCTGTGCCTTGACGATCATGAAGCGAACCAGGACGCCATTCTTAGGATTTCAACGCCACAACTGACGGTAATTGCTGCGCCCTCATAATTCGGAGTCCTTCCAGAACACCATTTCTGGTACGCTGGTGGGAAAACGCATTTCGTATAATGTGCGCGACGCTAAAGCGGAAACCGCATTTTCAAAAAAACGCCCCCCTCAATGTGGGAAGATCTTGGCACTTGTTCAAACGAATGCGCGCGGCGCTAAGTCGAGAACCACGTGTTGAACACCATTCGCCCTGAATCCGCGAGACTCTTGCAAATGCCAAAAAACGAATGTATGACGCGCAAAAGCGCAAACCACATGTTGACAACCGCCCGCCCTCCATCTGTGAAGCTGTTCGCCAGTGCTCGAACGAACGTGCGCCTCTACAGCGAAAACCACACGTTGGAAACCAATCCGAAGAACTCTTGCACCTTGTTTAAACGAGTGCGCGCGGCACTGAAGCGAAAGCCACAGTTTGAAAACCGCCCGCCCTCCACGTGCGAAGCGGCTGCCAATTCGTGGACTTCAGAGTCGCGAGCGGCGGGGAACACCCGGGCGCAACGACAAGCCAACAGCAAAAACCGGCCTCAGGTGCGACAGGGAGGACGTAGATATAAGGGAAAGCATGGTGGAGGAGGAGGAGAAAGCGGAGGAGGAGGAGGAGGGGAGGAGGAGGAGGAGGAGGAGGAGGAAGAAGAGGAGGAGGGGGGAGAGAAGGACGATGGAAGGGGAGGGAGGAGGAGGAGGAGGAGGAGGAGGAGGAGGGAGGAGGAGGAGGAGGGGGAGGGGGAGAAGGACGAGGGAAAGGAGGAGGAGGAGGAGAGGAGGAGGAGGAGGAGGAGGAGGAGGAGGAGGAGGAGGGGGGGGAGGAGGAGGGGGAGGAGAAGCAGGGGGGAGGAGGAGGGGGAGGAGGAAGAGGAGGAGGGGTAGCGACAGGAGGAGGGGACGATGAGGAGAGAGGAGGATAAGGAAAAGGAGGAGGAAGACGACGAGGAGGAGGAGGGAGGGGGGGGGGGGAGGGAGGCGGGAGGAGGGAGGAGGGAGGGAGAGGGAGGGAGGAGAGGGGGGGGGGGAGGGGGGGAGGGAGGAGGGGAGGAGGAGGAGGAGAAGGAGGGGGCGGAGGAGGAGGAGGAGGAGGACGACGAGGAGAAGGAGGAGGCGGGAAGTGGAAGGGGAGGAAGAGGCGGAGGAGGTGGAAGGATGAGGAGGAGGAGGAGGAGGAGGAGGAGGAGGAGGGAGAGAGAAAAGGAAAAGGAGAGAGGAGGAACAGGAAGAGGAGGAAGAGGGGGAGGACGAGGAGACGACGGGGGGGAAGAGGGGGAGGAGGAGGAGGAGGAGGAGGAGGAGGAGGAGGAGGAGAAGGAGGAGGGGGGAGGGGGAGGAGGAGGAGGAGAGGAGGAGGAGGAGGAGGAGGAGGAGGACAAAGAGAAGAGGAGGAGGAGAGGAGGGGGGGGAGGAGGAAGAGGAGGAGGAGGGGGAGGAGAGGGGGGGGGGGGAGAGGAGCAGGAGCAGGAGCAGGAGCAGGAGCAGGGGAGGAGGAGGAGGGGGAGGAGGGGGGGAGAGGAGGGGGAAGGTGGAAGAGGAGGAGGAGGAGGAGGAGGGGAGGGGGGGGGCGATGTTGATGCAACGCAGGCATGAGGGGGCTCCCTGTGATCAGTACGCGCGGCTCTAAGCTCTGGACAATAGAAGAATAGCACAAAAAGAGGGGGGGAAGCGCGAGGGCGCCTAGCCCTGCAGGTCGGACCAGGCCTGTAGCTCCCTCCGTGCAGCGTCGACCTGATGGGGTGGCGGAGCCTGCGGTCGCCCGGGAAAGAGAAAGCTGCGGGGCGGGTCCTGGTTGGCCCACGGCGCCGCGCGAGCATGTCTCCGTTCGGCTCGGATGCGCCGAGCCGCGGCACGATTGGCCTCGATCCTGGCCCTTTGGGAGGAAGAGAGGGGAAGGGGGGCAGGGGGCGGAGGCAGGGGCGGAGGCGGGAGAGGGGAGGAAGAAAGGGCCAGGACGCAGCTTGCTCCCCAGGGGGGCCGAGCAGCAAATCTGCTACCCGCTGCTCATCAGGATCCTGTTCAGAATGACCCTGGGCATGCTGGGGAGAGTCCGAAACCTCTGGCCCTTCTGAGTCAGAAGAGTCGAAACGTGAAAGCTCAGGGCCAATGCGCTCAGACCCCCGGCCCGCCCTGCCTTGGACTCCTGCAAAATCGGGGGCAGGGGCGGGGGGGTCAGGCGCATCTCGCTGCATGGCAGCGCAGAAGGTGATGAGCCCATCACGAATTTCATCACAATCCTGAGAGCACGGAAAGACAGGCCCCTCGCACGAGGAGTCTATTAGAGCGCATATGCTGGCAACAATACGTTCAGCAAGAGCCTTGCAAAGGCCACCAGGGTAGGCCTTCTTAGAGGCCGTATGAAAAACTCAGTCATCCCGCTTGCCGAGCAGAGTCCTGCGAACACCTCTGCCGTGCGAGCACCTCCCGCTGCCTGGAGTGGAACGCAATCTGGACGGTAAACAAGGCATGCGCACAGACAATATACAGGCGGGAGCCCGTCCGTATGTAGCGGGGCAGGCGGTGGGGTCTTGATGCTCACACTGGTCGAATGCAATGGGATTAGAACACGCGGCAGCGGCGTGCATGGGGCGCCACCTGAAGGACGTGGAAGCCCCAGGAGCCCAAAGAGCGGGGGCCGGGTGCTCAAGCCAGCCTTCAGTGCCAGCTCTGAGGTGCTCAGCTAGAAGCCTAACTAAAGCAAGTAACGACACTGAGCCTATCCTAACCTGCTCAGACTGTCTCCACGAAATCCAAGGCGCACCCCAGACATGTTCCACAGACCTGAGGGGGGGAGGCCCGCCTTCAGTCAACCTTGCAGCAGACCAGGTTTCGCAAGGCGGACCTCCCCCCGAGCTAATAACTCTGCGACGCCTCACGTGTTCAATCCACTCCAGGATAATACTTTCCCGAGACAGGTCCCCACGAACGTCGTCAATAGCAGCGCCCACGCTGAGCACGACAATTTCAATGGTAGGCTGGGCAATCGAAAACTCAATGTGCCATTGAACATCCTCCCGCCTGCGGTGTCCACAGAAGAGGTTGAGCACGAACAACGCGCTGCGAACGATGCGGAGGGGTGCGGAATCCGAAGCCACTCCAGTGTATGAACCAGGGTCAAAGAGGTAGAAAGAAGGTTCACGTACTTGATTCTGCCTGGGAGGCACATCATGGAAAATGGCCTGGAACTCTTCTCGCTTTTCTTGAGGGATGGCATAATCGGATCCCAACAGAACTGCTTGAGCTTCTTGCTGGCTGAGGTCACTCACCAGCTCGCGGTTGGGCAAGCGCACACTTGCGACTCGACTTGCTGGGGCGTCCGTGCGCCATCTGCCAAATCCAGCCCGACGTTGCTCTAGCATTCTCTGGGCTTCTTGCTCGTTCAACTGAGCAGCTTCGGAGAATGAGCACTTAGTAACCACCTACAATAGAAAACTGCATGCCGATACTGATATGCCCCACAGGCCCCGTAACTTCAACCTCCACATCTCCAATGCCAAGAAGCCCACAACAAAGGATCTGGGGATGGGGTAGAGCAGGAGCAGACACAATAAGCATAGAACCGGCAGGGTAGGTGCACTGTAGAGGTTTAACCAGATGTAATTTAGGTAAGACCTTATCCACAGTAATAGTTTCATAGTGACCATTATCTAGAATATACTCAGACGCACACTTAGCATAACAAACGCAAGATGAGACGTGAGAGCCGAGCGGCGGGAAAACGACTGGCCACGCGTGTGACAGGTGCGTGAATGACCCCGAATGCGTCTGATATGCTGAACCCTGGAGTGATGGTTGCGAAGTATGTGTGCACGAAGTCCTCTAGCCTTGGCAAACGACGTATGACACCACATACATACCCATGTACGATCCTGTAAACTTCCAAGCATACGCGTGGGATGCCGCGGATCATCCCATGCTGGAGGAACGCCTGCATCGAGCAAGATACTGAAAATGTCTTGCTCCGCCGTATGTGCCAAAACCTCGCGCTGCAACTGTCTGACATGTGAAGCTAGGGCGCTGCGAATGGTACGCTTCCAAGCTGAAGGAGAGCGTCTTGCCTCCTGTTCCCAGGTGTGTAGGTCGTCAGCTGGAGATGGAAGCCGACGTAGGTGCGGCAAATGTAGGCGAAGCCATTCTATATCTTTCAAAATCGTGCGCGCCCAGGACCGGCGGCAATGCTACAGACACGCGCCTAGAAGAGCGAACAGGTGATGTGGGCCAGATACGAGAAGCCCGCCAGAAAGCCTTAGCCTGCATGCCAAAGGAAAAGCCTCGAGTGGCGGACGACCAACTGGTGCCAGGACCGCTCGATTGCGTGCCGCAGATTCGTCACGTCGCGGTAGCTTGGCGATAGCCCTGCAATACCTAAGCAGACCATCCTGGAGCCCCCGATGTTGAGAGACCGTGAGGGGCCCCCACGTGCTGGCCTGGAAGAGGCGACCCGAGCAGACCAGGGAGTCCAGGAGGACCATGGCAGCAGCAGGGGTGGGGCCTTGAACTCCAGCATGTTTGAGAACTCGGTACCGAAGGGCCTTCCAGGCGGGAGAACAACTGTTTTGCCGATGGGCAAGCTCCGGCCCCATGGACCCAGCCATATCATGCATGGCACCCAAATGCACGTATTGCTGGACTCGATGTAGGGTAACGGTTCCCGAAGACTTAGTACATGCCTGGATGGTGTTGCACATGTCCTGGACAAGAGCTCGTCTAGCATTGCGAGCTCCAGGGCCTCTGAACTGGAATAGGAACGCCAGGCTTACAGTTAACCCTGAGTCCGCGCATGTTGAAAGCCTCGATAACAGCGGAAGCCACGAAGGGAGCTTGGAACAACAGTGTCTTGGCAGGACCTGCGAAACTGAAATGGGCGTCGTCGAAAAATGCGCCCTCCACGGTGTGGCATGCGCGCGCGCAGCCGGCATCGTCTTTGCCAGCGCAAGCCGCTAGCGAATAGACAGAGTGCGTAGGTAGGCGAAGCTCGACTCCACATCCCAGAAAATTAGCTTGAGCTTGCTGCATAACTTTAGCCATGATCAAGTTATATCGTATATCCCCTAGCTGTTGCCCAGGTCCAGAGCCCAAGTAAGGAGAAGCAGCTCCTTCCCCGTCAGGAACATAAAACCAGGACCCGTCATATGCGTCTGAAATCTGAGCCCGCCTCAAGGGAGAAACCCCGGCAGCTTCTAGGACAGGAGTCTGTTGCTGGATGAAGCCCCTTAGCTCCTGGGTGGTGTCGGGTGGTAGGCCGCGCGCATAATAGCTGTGAGAGCGACTGATCATCGCATGCCGCGCGGAAGACTAGCTCTCTCACTGCCTTGTGAAAAGCCTGCACTGCGTCAATGAAAAGGATGAGCACGCTGTGGCCTCTGGCAGCAGCCAGTTGTTGAAATGCTCGCAACTCAAGGGCGGAGAAATCCGCGCCTCTGCCTGGGAGACCGCCAAACTGCCGATCTCCTGCTGTGGCCAATAAATTCTCCGCGACCTCTGATCGAGCGATTGCTCGAAACCTTTTGCCTATCTGTGACGGCCCAAAAATCGAGCGGTAGTTGCTAACCATGGAGGGGGCCCCAGCTTTGAATCAACTCCAATAGTGACCTCCTTTCCATTGAACCGGTTCTCGGACCCGCACCGCGCGCTTGACCGGGAGAGGATGGGACAACTTCCCGATAGCAACCGAAAGATTCTTTAGAACCTCCCCCGTGATACCGTCTGGGCCAGCAGCGGAAGCCTTGGCGGCAGTAAAAGATTGCTGCGTAGAACATAACGTAGGCAAATCACCAAGCGACATGCTGAGGTCGTGCGCGACGCCCCTCGGTAACTCTGGGAGCGCAGACAAAAACCAGCGCAGATCGCTCGCTGGAATGACTGGCGCTGCTTCTTCGCCGCTGAAGTGCTGCAGCCACCTGTTGGCAACTTCTACATGTGTACGCAGCGGTTGGCCTGATGTGCTGAAAAGAATAGGGAGAGGCCTGGCACGTTGCTTTCTCCTGGAACAAGCCCCCATGGCCTTCAGCTTGGCGAAGGCCCCCTTGAAATCCTTCCTGGGCCAAGCAGAGGCTACCTGGGTGGCTAACTCTTCTGCGTGCGCCTCGGCATCTGCAGCAGCGCTGTCATTGGCCAAGACAGCGCGGACCTCTAGGGCCATAACCCGAGCAGCCCCACAGAGGCCGAAGAGCCTGATACAGTAATCCCAGCACCTCTGGAGCCCACAAGCGGCGAACCCAGGAAGGACCATACGTGGGGATCTCGCCCAAGAAGCTGCCACTGCGCCTCTCGTAGAGCCTGAAGAAAGCCACGCTGCCACTCGGGTCGCAAGCGTACCGAGACCTTTTGCTGGGGCGATGCGCACGTCCAGGAAGACGCCCAAGATGATAACAAATACCCGCCAGTGCAGGTCGCAGTAAGGTAGTAGTAGACGCACAAAAGGAGCCCCAAGAGTGCCATAGTGAACCCATGGGGCGCTGCGAGAAGGTGAGGGCGCCTCGTCGACGACGCGCCCATTCTCCACGTAGTGGAGCCGCCCAAGCGTAAAAAAAAGAAGCGCCACTTGCATGTTCAGGCATGCTTTGCCGGCAGAACGGAAGCTGTGCAGCTGGAAGGGAACGAGGAGGGAGACGAGGAAGGGGGGAGACGAGGAGGGAGGGGGGCTGGAGGAGGAGGGAGGAGGGGAGGCTGGGAGGAGGGGGGGGGGAGGAGGGAGGAGGGAGGGAGGGGGGGGGAAGGAGGGGGGAGACGAGGCTGGGGGGGGGGGGGGGAGGAGACGCGGAAGGGGGGGTGGAGGGAAAGGAGAGGGAGAGGAGGAGGAGAGGAGGACCAGGAAGAGGGGGAGGAGGAAGGAGGAGGAGAAGGAGGAGGAGGAGGAGGAGGAGGAAGAGGAGAAGGGGGAGAGGAGGAGGAGAGGGAGGAGGAAGAGGAGAAGGAGGAGGAGGAGGAGGAGGAGGAGGACGAGGAGGGGGGAGGAGGAGGAGGAGGAGGAGGAGGGAATGAATGAATGAATGCCCTTCCTGGTCCCATATGTCTCTGCTCTGCTGCTAAGTGTGCTCTACAGCGTGCGCTAGTGCATCGATCGGACGAAGACGTGCTACAAAATCGGCTGGAGTTCGGCCTACTCGACAAAAGAACTGCCAGGCCAACGAACCCACCGACCCGACACTCCGAACCTCCAACACGGCCTATGGAGCCTAGGAGGCCAGAGCAGGGCAGGGACACCGCCTCGTGACCCAGCCTGCTCGGGCCCGAAACTGGGGGCACCCACACTCGAGACATCCGACAGGGGGCAGGGAACGCCCACCCCAGACGCGGACGCCACGGCGGAGGTGCCATCAGCCTCGACGACGAATTACATCTCGACGAGCGCTCTGTGCTCGAGCGTGCCGATCGAGATACACTACTTCACGCAACTGAGGAGGAGGAGGAGGAGGAGAAGAGGAAACAGCAGCGGCAAAATGGGCGGCCTCAGATCCCGCTCTCTGACGTCGCTCAGCTGCTCGTAGTAGCTGTCGAAGCTCAGCAGAACTATTTCCACCAGCAGTCGAAGAAAGCAAAATCCCTGCAGAAATATTTCCACCAGCAGTCGAAGAAGACGAGCCAGCAGTATTTCTCTCCGCAGTCGAAGAAAAGAAAGAGCCAGCAGAAGTATTTCTTCTCGCAGTCGAAGAAAGAGAGCCAGCAGAAGTATTTCTCTCTGCAGTCGACGATCTGTCTAGCGATACCTCTCCTCGTGCGTCCGACTCTCGCCAAGCTCCTCTAACACCTGCTGCACTCTGCGCGCTATGTCTGACGATGGCGCCATCCCGTACTTGAAGATGCCGCCCTGGCTGCTCAACAATGTTTTTGCATGCTCCCACGCCGGCCATGTCACGGCCGCTCTGTTTACTTTGATCTCTATCTTCGCATAGTCTCGTGCATATGTTTTCTTCACGCGGCAGTAAGGGATGTCCTTCTGCAGGGCGTGATGAAGGGCCTGCATGCCCTTGGATTCCTTGATCTGCGTGTAGTTGGTGGTGTAGCGCTCGAAGTCTGTCTTGGCCTGGCCGCTCAACTGTACTGCCTTCTGCTCGGCTTTGTTCATGATGGCCAAGAATATCGACGTGTGCGGGAGACCCAACTGCTGCTCTCGATCCTCCTTGGCCACTCCCGCTGCTTGCTGCGCGTAGCCACGACCCGCCTCCAGGCCTGCCTGCACCATCTCTACCGATAACGGGCACACGCACACCTCCAGGTCCGAAACCGCTCTCGCCACACGTGCTTGGTACTCTGCTGCCAGTCCCAACTTTGCTACGAGAATCATCATGTCCTTGATCGCCTTCAAATTGTCCTTGTCGGCCTCCTTCAGCGCTTTGCCGAGAGGCTCCTCCCTGCGCTGACGCTGCGCTGGCGGGAGCGCGAGGTCGAGGGGCATGGCCTCTGCGTCCTCGGAGAGGTAGGTGGCCGAACCGCGCGGCCAACTCTGGAATGATCTCGAGCCCCGAACGAGCTACTGATAAATGTATATCTCGAGGCCCTGGAACATGCGACCGAACATGGATGTGATATAGCGCCAGAGACATAAAGTGCTGTTCACATAGCGGACATATAAGTTCAACTTCATCAGGTACTTTCTGTGGTGTTATGGCATGATCCGTAAGACATCGATTCTGGATAAAAGCATGGCGCACATGTGATACCGCTGAGTCCCGACTGCTAAACCCCGACGAACACCATGGACACATGCTACTTTGCACGAACTTTTCAACATGTACGACACCATCCGCTCTCCGAACACGCGATTGGTGGACTCGCAGGGCTCTAAGGGTCTCGAACGTCTCTCCACACTCCTGTCCATTCGGGAGAAGATCATGACATCGGTATTCACGAGCATGTGGGGGTTCATCTTCGGGATCCTGAGGGGGCTGATGGTGGCCTGGAGGAGACACGGCAACCGAGAGGTACTTACTCCGAAGCTCTGAGACGTCGATGTCCAAGAAGTGGGCCTTCAGATCCTGATCCATTAAGAGCCTTTGGGGGGCGCCCTGATACCTATCCACGAAATCCGCACCCTCCTCAAGTTCCGCGAGCGAGTTCAAATCTTCAATCATCCTTTTCACGAAAAAGTTAAGCTCCACTGGGTCCTGCTCGAAGGGCATCTGGGGGGCCAGGAGGATAGTCAGGAGCTGTTCGTTTTTTTTTTTTTTTTTTTTTTTTTTTTTTTTTTTTTTTTTTTTTTTTTTTTTTTTTTTTTTTTTTTTGTTTTTGTTTTTTTTTGTTTTTTTTTTTTTCAGGGGCCCTAAACATTGCTTGGCACCACCTCAATCTCTGAATCCTGAGCTCCAGCGAGACGGGTGCAAGTCGGAGCAGCAGTAAAACTCGCGCAGAGGCGAGGCCCCTCTTCTTCTCGGTGCCGTCGGGAAGGAGGGTGGTATTCGTCGCCGCGCCCTGCGGCAATTTACGACAAAACCATGTCTGTGTCCTGTCGAGCTTGGCCTCGTCCTCTTTGGTGAAAGGCAGCCCCAAGACACCAGACATAAGACAGGCCATGCACATCATGCGAAACAAGATAATCTTGAAGTCGCGGCATACTCTGCTGAACCAAAACTTGTGAAACATATACCAGTTCTTTTTGCATGCTTGAATCCGTCGATTCAGTTCTACCCCCGTGTATCCGCGATAGCGCAGCATGGGGCCAAGGTATCGAGCCTCTCTCATCACACGTCCAGGCATCCATGGATCAGCATACGCACGTCGCTGTAGATGGCCCGATAGTTCACCCATGAAGAATGCAGTGGCCTCTAGCTTCTTCTCGTTCTGCGCGCAACCTATCTCCAGGAGGTGTCGCGACAGAGAATCAATGCATCGTGAGCTAGAGTCCCTCATCTGTGTGAATCCTTGAACACATAGTAGGCGTCTGACGTCGTCCACGAATCTAAAGATCGAGCAATCTACGATATTGTCACGAACTACCGATGGAACCTGCAGCTGTGGATCTGTTGTGTCAGCTCGCCAGTCGTCGATCGATGCGCCATATGCCTTCTCAAAAAGTCCGGTGCCGAGCGAGCTCCCTTGTGTAACTCCCTCGCCATGGTGAAAGTTGACCCTGCCATCCAGTGCGTCATACTCCGTAACACACCCCCCAATTCGATCATCAAAAAGCTTCGCGTCACTCTCGGAGGCGGTGGGGAAGATGATGCTATCCTGCTTCACGCAATTGAAAGCGTTGACCGCGTCGAAGTTGAGAGCGATGTGGGATTTTTTTGCTTTCCCAAGTCGGTCCATCATAACTGTGGTAGCCGCAATTGCTCCCTCACATCTCCTTCCAGGAACATGATACGCGTGAGGATATAGTACGTCTGCGGGCTGGCTCCGAAGGAGGCCGCGATAGAACGAGTTACTGTAAGCACCATATCCGTGTACCCATCGCGTGTCGTCCAGGTCCTTGGGTATTCCAAAACACTTATCTCGATGCCATTGCTGCGGAGCTTTGTTGTTCGCGCGAACTTTCTGGTGGAACACCAATAGCCGATCATAAATACACTGCAGCTGATCTGCGGGGGTGTCCAGTCCGATGCCATGCTGCACCACCGTGCCAACAGGTGGAGAAAGAAAGATACGCCATACTTCAGAAGGTAAATCCCACTCTGGGGCTGCTCGTCGATTTTTTGCCTTGCCAAGAGCTTGAATAGTACGAAGGAGATCGCGTTCGGCCTGTGGCCGTTCGTCTGGGGTGGGGGGATGACGAGCCTGTTGTGCTTGAATGAAGAGCCTGGCGTCCGTGATCCTGCGAGCACCCCATCCCTTAAGAGCTCCTGCCTTAGAGAAACGCTGTTCAGCTTCATCTCGTGTAAGTCTTAACGTGATGGGTCGTCCGCATCGTCGTCGCTTGGGTCCAAGTCTTTTTCCTGTAATCATTCGTGCAAGCTGATGCGCCTCCGCATGGCGCTTGTCATTCCATGCCTGTGTACATGCTTCCATCAGTGCCAGCTGTCGATCGATCTGCATTTGCTTGATATGTGAGGTGACCTTTCTGCTCGCTATGCCAAGACACACTGCCACTCGCCATCCGTGTAGTAGATCTCGTAGCGAGTGCATGCTCGATCCGATCCCAAGAATACGAAAGATATATCTTATAGGTCCCAGTCCGTCGTGTGTCCACTGCTGAGCCACTGCTTGTCGAAGGTCGCGCCGTTCCCGAAGAAGTTGAATCTTTTGCTTTGATTTGTCCTGAAGCTTCGTGTCTGGATGTGGCGTGAAGTGCTTCTGAGCGATGGGCTGCAATCCGTCCACGAGAAACTGCCATGATTGTGTGACCGATCCTGTGTCTAAGATTTGCTGCCACTCCTGCTCGCTGTCCAGACACCATTGGTTGATGTCAGTATATATCAGATCTCGAATCCCTCCATGTAGCATTTCCTGCATCATACCTTCTCGATCCCACTTTATATTCTGCTTGCTGCCGTCGTACTGTAATTGAATATCAAGATTTATCTGAACAGGTCGGTGATCAGCCTTCCGAATGCTTCGTATGAGTTGAAGCCGGTCACCAGCACGATCCAGAACGAATGCCGAGTGCATAGCTCCCGATGTCAGAAATCCATATGGCGCGCATATGTAGTCGATCCTGTGCTGGGTGTTCATGCCTAAGTTATAATGAGTAGGCCCTGCTCCATGAGGAAAGTATGTGTTCACCGCACACAGGTGAAAGTCAAGCCAGAATTGTCTCAAATAGCTGCCATTCGTGTTGGTCGGTTCTCTAAAGTGCGGGCCGATCGCGAAACAATCATCTGGGAATGGTACGCCCTGAGGTCCTGCGAGCATGCCCACTCTGCCATTCCCGTCCATCATCACTATAGGTAACACACGTGCGGGGAGGCCAGCCAGAATCTGTGAGGTCCATGAAAGAAGCTTCTGGAACGGGGACCTGGGCTTGTGATTGCCAACATTCTCAGGGGGAAAGTACAAGGATATCCATGCCACGTCCATGCTGTCCGTACGAGTACGTATGAGGATGCCACGCCCCTGCAAGCTCGGGCCCTAGGCACCTTGATCTCCTTGATCGAAGTGTCACGAAACATTCTCCGATGCAGCCCAATTGCAACTCCTGCATGCGTATTAGACCGTCGTCCATATCCAGCAGAATAGAATATATGATTTCCAATACTTCGCTGCTCAATAGCCAGATCGTGTCCTGGTAGTCTGGTGCCCTGCAGCCCGATGACCGCTTTGTGCTTGAACTCGCTGAATATGTCGTCGAGCCTGCCGCAGTTCAGGGTGGAGAGAGGGTTGTAGCTGATCACCTGCGCGGCATTGGCGTGGGGGCGAGAAGAAGCGCTCATCATGCCCGAGCAGGAACAATCATGGGCCCCTCCGATTTCTTGTGGAGAAGCACAAAGAATGAATGGGTGCGCCACGGCCCCTCTCAATCGGCTCGGGCCCACGGGCTGGAGGAGGAGGGAGGTGGAGGAGGAGGAGCAGGAGCAGGGGCAGGAGAAAGAAGAGGAGGAGGAGGGGGAGGGGGAGGAGGAGCGACCCGCGCTTGAGGGGGAAGGAAAAAGAGAGAGAGAGAGAGAGAGAAAGAGAGAGAGGTCCCGCAGCCCTTCCAGCAGCGCTGCCCGCCGCGGCCACCGCCGCGGGCGCCGGCGGCGCGGGCTCCCTCAGGAGGAGACGAAGAGGCGACGAAAAGAGGGGCGACGAGGCGACCAGGGAGAGACTACACACGCGCTCGCGCAAGCTGAGAGGCAACCTTCGATCGGCGGGCATTCGCGCGGAGCCTGTCGAGAATCAAGCCACGGGTCCTGGCAGGACAAGGAGGGGGGGGGGAAGCGCGCAGAGGCTGATATGCACTGTGCAAACAATCAACTGCAACACAACACGAAAAGAAACATTCACGATTCGGGGGGGGGGGAGATGAAAGTGGGGGGAACGAAACGGGTCATCTCCAGCATCGGATGGTAGTGCTTTGAGCGCATTTTTCACTATCTCCCAGGCCACTGGACAAGACATATAATGCAATATGTCGTCGCCCCCCACGGCTAGGCATCCCATTTTGCAGGCATGTGCCCCGCAGCGATATCGACGTGAAGCGCCCAGGCATTGCGCGCGGATTTGAGGGGGGCAGTGGAGATGTAAGAGGGGAGGTACTTTCTAAGAACTTCGAAACGTAGCATCGTCAAGTCCGCGGCCCCCTCAGAAGAGGGCAACGACGTCATAAGTCTTGGTAGTATCATACCCGAGGACCATTCCAGAGGATAGTGACATACCAGGAGGCGCTGGATATACTGTTGTACTTTGCGGGGACGAGTATCACCAGGAGAGGGATGTATACTGTAGAGCGCATCATAAACCCGAATCATCTGGAGAAATATCGATTCACCACTAATCTCATAATATTTCCAAGCAATACATGTCTCGCCATATTCCTGCCATTCCTTAACTAGACGGTGATGATATAAAAACGTGGAGCTCCTGGTTGCTGCCCGAAGGATACATGCGCGCGAGAAGATCTCAAGTCCCCTCGCCCCCACCTGGTGGCCGAAGCTAGTCAGGTCAAACATTGCTTTCGGCGGGATGCTATGCCGCGGCGCACAAGTGAGCAGCTCCAAACCGTCTTGCTCGACAGTACGGGCACGAGCAACAGGGCGGTGCACTTGCGCCGCGTGTGAGACAACAGGCAGGCCAAACATGTTATATGAGCGAGTACTTGATGATAACTCGAGGCCCAAGGACTTATTGCGAAGACACCGTTCTTTGAGCTTGATAGGGACGGGCCCCCAGGAGGCCTCGATGCTGCCAACCCCAATCCCCACGCCAATGTACCACCCACACCTCGAAATTTTGAACTTCTTGATATTGATACCAGCTTCTTTACACAAGCAAATGACATTCAAATATGTGGACTTACCAGGGAATGCGAGCCGGCACTTCGCGACGTTCAAATGGAGGCCAAGACGACCCCCACTCCTAACAAGCACTCGAACAATGTGCGGCGAAATAATAATCAAGCCCCAGCTCGACGCGGCAAGGTCGTCTGCGAAGACGTTAAACACAAATGCAGAGACGAGCGACGCCTCTTGCAACTTCCTGATCACAGGGTCGAAGCAGAGGCTGAAGAGAAGCCCGCTCAGTGGGCATCCCTGTCTTATGCCGCGCATGAGGTGTGCGTGAAATGGGTCAGATCCAGCGCGCATTATGCACATGATACTGTCCTGAGATAGTGCCATGACGCTAAGGGCGATGAGCTGAGGTATACCATATGCTTTCAATACCGCCCACAGATATGCATGATTAATACTCGGGAATGCAGCTTTGAGATCGAACAGTGCCGTGCCTGTCCGCCTTTGACCACACATTGCGTTGCCAATCAGCAGTGTGGCACCTACTTCAATGGTGTTGTCCGCTAGCTGGCGCCCACGGAGGAGACCCCGCTGGGCAGCAGCAACGCGATCGCCAGCAACATGTGCCAATGGCCAAGCTCTACACGCGCTAATCAATGTGTAGCTGTGTTGGATAATGACAACGGTCGGGTTTCCCCAGGTTCACGACAGATACTACCCCAACACCAGAGTTACCTTTGGGGGGGAACGCCGCAGAACTATGATTGAACTCTCTCGGCAGCCTCTGGGGCCCCACTAAGCCCAGGTAAACACCATGCAAACACTTCAGGCCCACGTCCCCAGAGGGAGCCCGCGCCGAGTACGGGGCCCCGTCAGGCCCAGGAGATGAGCCCTTCTTATGCGACACAATGTCGGCAAGCAAATTCTCAGGCACAACCCACGGGTAGATCGAGCCGTCTTGCGCACAGTGCTGTACATCATCATACGGGATAGGGCAGATACGCGTGACAAGCTCCTTAATCACCCCATCGCCCACCCACCTAGCCTCGAACGCCCTCCCCCAAGCAAGCAAACGAGAGCAAGTGTTCGGATCGCTATGATGGTTCCCCTCCCCGTCCGTACTCTGCTGCAAAAAGACTTGCCGACCAGACTTATTCCAGGCCTGCGTCGTCCTGCGAATCCTCGCAAGTTGCCGGGCTGCACGGGCGCCACCATTAGCAGCAGACTGAGCAGCAGCATCGCGAACATCATATTCGCGAGCTTGCAGAACATTACCTGCAGGTCACGAAACCCTCTGAGGCCCCTCAGGGTCTTACGGGAGCCCCCCGACCGAACACCCCTCAAAACCGAAAGCATACACGACAGTTTATCTTCAGGGGTCCTGCCTCCTTTTTCAAAAAAAAAAAAAAACAAAAAAAATCCTTGACGCGATTCGCGACGAACTTC